GATTTTGCTGTGTTACTAATGTGCACTAACGCATTGCAGTAATCTATGAAATTTGCTATATAAATACATTTCCATTCCTTTCCTTATTATAATCACCTTGTAAAATACAAACATAACATAACATAAATAATTACCTATTACTTGAAGGATGTATTCACAAACGAGTTTCTCACCAAAATCAGCAAGAGATACGAGGTCCAAGTTTGAAGTCAGGACTCGTGCTCTTCTGTCAGTAGCGCCACCTCTTGGTTCGTGAGCCACACTGCAACCTCAACGTGAAATCTGCTCAACTGCAACATCTGCAATAAAAGACATGCACATAAAACCCCACATGTTCAGCTCTATGTGATCAACATAACATTTATAGCAATGTGTTGTTGTTAAATGACGTCCTACTCCCCACTGGATAATTAAGGGCAATCCTTGGCAGATAAGATAAAATGTTGCATAAAACATAAAGAATACAACGATTACGACTATCTAAAGCAGAACTGAAAATACCTCAATGGAGAACAGTAAAATAGCCACATGCTAAATACCCTGAGATCATGAATAAATATAGTGCACATAAAACTGTCAGTAGCTGCAACCAAGTTTTCTACATTTTCAACAGTAAATCCTGAGTTTGAGTCAGTTTTGTCAGATCAATATTGACATTCAAAATAGAACTGCTGTGATGCTAACAATGTACCATATAATCAACATTTTACTTGCTATAAATCCATCTTCTTTTATTCTCAGAAAGACACAAAACTATAAGCCACATGCAGGGCCCTTTTAGGTGAGATAATCCTTAATTGAGTCATTATTTTCCAACTATGTATATTCTTAAAGTAAATAAAAAGGTGATGATGGGAAGTGTTGTCTAACTTGTCTGCATTGTGTCTGAATGACCTAAACTGAGACAGGACAGCGAGGAGCAGCTGTAAAACACATTACTGGCTCCCATTATGAATTCGCAAAGGCAATATTGTGAGGGTAAACCTGAAATAGGGTAAACTAGAAGGCTGGAGCACATTAGCGCTGGCTGAGCACAGGTGAAGACGACAGAGCTTCATCATGAGTTTGTGTCACGTCAGATTAGAAGATACAAAAGCACATGTAAACTCTTTCCATCCCCGCAGGCAGGCGGCTGCTTAATAACTCGCAGATGGATAATTCCCCCACAACGGAGAGTGAGGATAATTTCTTAGCTCAGGCCTTTGGATAAAATAAAAAACAAAATGAAAAAGCCAAGTTCCCTGACCGGGAATCGAACCCGGGCCGCGGCGGTGAGAGCGCCGAATCCTAACCACTAGACCACCAGGGAGCTGCTAGCATGAGAGCTAACAGGCATGAAAAACCTAGAAGCTACACCGATAACACAGACTAATGTCTTGCAAGAGCATGCATTTCTTGTTGTAACTCACTCTGGTTAGTTATGAAAAACAAATGCGTTATATCGTTAAGAGAACATTGCTTAAGTTGTGTAAATAATTGGGCAAAGAATGGCAATGACACAGCAAAAGAAACCTTTGCAGCGCGTGTGATTGTGACGCCGGACCGAACTAGAAGCGTGCAGTGTTGCCAACTCCTCAGTAAGGAAAGTAGCTATTGGCTGTCCCAAAAGTCGCTAGAAGTCGCTAAATGACGTCATCGCCTAATTTGCATAATTTGCAATTTGCAAATAACTGTAACGGACGCTGTAGGAGAGAGGAATAAGGTCGTGGGAGAGACAAAAGTGAGTAAAAACACCCTAAATATGTTTAGAACTACAAATGTACAAAAATAATTTCAACATTAACAACATTTAATGATTTTAATGCTTTGTCTAGATCCACATTACACACATCAGTTTTGTCCTGTATTGTTAAATGTTATAACAGCAAATGTAATCAAAAGATTGTTATGTAGGGTGAAGCTAGCTCTACAACCAACCCTCCTCCTTTATCCGGGCTTGGGACCGGCAAAGTGACCCAAAAGACACACTCTGGCAGAGTTACTTAGGTTTATTTTTGTAAGTTTTTTTTTTTTTTCATAGTTTGGCATAACAAATGATTTAATGTGACCCACTACTGAGAGAAAACAGAGTCACGGACAGAGCTGCCGCGGATGGAGTGGGGGGTAGTGGGGGGTGGCGGTGGTAGGAGTGGCCGGGGAGCTTTGGATGTGTGGTGGTGGTGGAGCTGAAGTTCAGTCTGCAGCAGCCTGAAAACTTCCTGTGCTTTTGAGTCTCCTCTCTCTCTCTCTGCTCCGCCCATAGACTGTAGCTGGGACTGCTGCGCAAGGCTACTGTGAGACTGGCCGCCTGTAAGTGCTTTGGGACGGGGGAGGGGCTCACGTTGAGGACAGCAGAACAATACGTGCTTCACGAGTCTCCAAAACACCAGATAAGTCGCCAAAACACCAGATAAGTCGCCAATAACACCAGAAAAAGTCGCTAGATTTGTCGCTAGTCGCTTTTTTGAAAAAAAGTCGCTATAGGGGTCTGAAAAGTCGCTAAATCTAGCGACAAAGTCGCTAAGTTGGCAATACTGGAAGCGTGTGTCATGCTAATGTGTTCATGCCTTGATTTCAAGTTGGAGCACGTTTAGTTACCTGTTTCCCGAATTTTGCATTTAAAACAATTCAAGTGATTTTTAGAGTGGATTTTTGTAAACAAGCTTGAAAAATATTAGTAATGTAATATTAGAAATGTTACATATCCAATTAATTATACATGTCCAATCATTTTAACTGTAACCAAACTATGACTCAAACCAACAATAGAAAACACATTTTTCTTTGTACTTACTTGCACAGATAATATGGGAAACACGTGTGATTAGCTTGTGTAGCGTTAGCTACACACTTTCAATGTGCAAAGACAGCTAACGCTAGCTGAAAACTTAGCTTGACAGAAAAACACGGTTTAATAAAATATACTTCAGCTAAACTTTTAAAAAACATGGAGAAATTGGTACCTATTACACATAACGCAATAACGAATAACCAGAGTAACATTAGAAGGCCTAAACATTAAATTACTCACGTTTTTTTCCACACAAATTCACGGACACGCTGCCTCTCTCCTACTCGGGCCATTCCGCGGCAACTAAAGGTGCAGGTGCAGCGACTGTCAGAAGAGGGCGCTTTTCCTAATTTACCGTATTAAACATTATTCCCTGTTTCCACCAAGGATCTATTATAATAACGGGTTTCCACTAGCTCTTGAAGAAGATGACAAAGTCTGGGATCGCCTCTTTAATTCAGACAGAAGACTTTTTTATTGTCGATGGTAGAGACAGCACGAACAACACGAACACAGAATGCAAGTGTATTATACAGAGCGGAGGCATGGAGACCTCCAATCAGCAGCTTCCACGGTGCCATGTAGCTTGGCCTTCAGATAGACAAAACAAGGGAAAAGTACTGGCTTCTGCACATTGATAGAATGATGAGTTTAACTTTAACAATAGTTGCTTCAAAGTGTTATGAAATCTCACACTCTACTTGGCCCGACTCTACTCTACTACTACTGGGCAATGGGAGTGTTTCCACGGCACCAGGTAGTTTTTAGTCCCTCTTGGCCCAGTTCTAACTCGGCCTACCTGGAACTAACGGCGTTCTGACTGTCAGTGATTGGCCAGAGTGCTGCTGGAAGCTATTGTTACCAAAACATTTCACTGGATACAGGTTTGTTGTGGGTGGGCTGCAAGGGTATGGTTCCAAGGTACTACATACTAAGGGGTAGTGGAAACACAAACAGGTAGAGTAGTGCTGTGTTGAGTAGACTAGAGAAAGGCCAAAACACTTGCATAAATCTTAATAAGTCAAGGCAGAAAGAGACGAAAATTAAGTAACCTAAATTGATACAATTAGTCACAATTATTACAATTGCCAGCAGATGGCAGTATGTTGGGGAGCTTGGTGGGTCATGCTCTCTGCCAAAACAATTTCCAAGTGGTAACTTTTGTTTGTTACTTACGTGGCAATACAAATGATTCTGATTCTTCTCTTTTCCCAGTCTCTCACAATATCTTGATTTACCATTACATTTTAAGAGATTTGACCATTCTAATATAAAGGCAATGACTGTATGGGCTAGGTTTTATTACAACATTCAATGTCTCAGTTATTTCTCTTTGATATTTTTTTTCTGGCTTGAAGTATTTACGTACCAATGTTCAAATACAAAGGAACAAAAAGAGAGCATATTTAGCAATTCAACTTTATAATTTATCTTCCAGATCTCTCACTCTTCACAAAAAAATATACAACATTGAGCATGAAAACACTATCACAGTGGACCATGCAGCACTCAACCCCTATACATTTTTTGTCAACATAAAACCAGCATCATTTTGCGAAGGCACGTGTGGTGATCTGTGCAACAAAATAGGTCTATCATCAGTAGAAATACTTAATTGACTAAAACTTCAACACCCCATGGTTTAGATTGGTGCCACCTGCATGTGAAAGCCTGATCCCGTCAGATTTATGATGCTAAACCGGACAGGGCCTGGTTAGTACTGTGATGGGAGACCTCTGGGATCACCAGGTGCCACAGCGGGTTGGCTGCAGCTGTAAAGTGCCACACTGCTGTTGTGCAAGACACTTTACCCATACTGTCTAGAATGAGTCTTGTGTGTGTGTGAATGGTTGGTGGTGGCCTGAGGGGCCGAAGGCACATTTGTTTCACTTCTATCAGTGTGCTACAGCAGTTGTTTCTTCACCTCTGTGCATGGAGTGTGCAAGCGTATTTGAGTGTCCAAAACCCCGCTGCATAATTAATAATTTAGATTTGAGTCCAGCTCAGTAGAAATGTATGTACGTACGGAGTGCACAAAATACAGCCAAAAATTACAACCTCACATTTTAAATATAAAACTTTTAAAAACCAAACAGTACACTAAACTCAATGTGCAAAATAAACATAATGTTAGAATAAATAACAGCTTTTACAATATTAAATATTACTATGTTAAGACGGACTGGAGCTGAGAAGGCGGAGGAGGCACCCTGGTGGAAAGGCACAGATTTCACTGAAGAACACATTTGTCTTTGTTGTTGTATTTTCTCCTCCTCATCTCCAGACCACGCTCTAGCCGCTCGTCCTCCTCCAGAGCCCTGTGTAATGGAGAAAACATCATAATCTTAAAGTTTACTTGTTCCAATGTTTTGGCAACAAATATCAGACCATAACATTGTATTAGAATGTTTTTTTTGCAGACTAAGAAAGAGCCTTGTTAGTTACTATTTGAAACTTTGGGCTGAGAGCTGTAAAGTGGTCCTCTCTTTTTCACTTTTTTTTTTATTACCAAAAATTTGCAATGTGCAAGTGAAAACTAGTTATAAATCTATTTTGAGAGCAAGGAACTAGTTGTATAGATATTATTACAAAGGCCAATTTTTCTGTGGTTTGACAGTTTGGTCCAACCCCTTTTATACAATTTGAGCAAAAGACAGTCTAAAGACTTCACAATCTAGTCGTGTATTTCAAGCATTTATCTTGTTCGATGTTAAATTGTATATGCATTAATATTGGTATGAGTTCATAAATAAGATGTGATATTATTGTACGTACACTCTCTCTTTTGCGTCTATGTCCCTGATGATCTCGTCTCTCTGATTCACCAAAGACACGAGCTCCTGTAGAAGAAGCTGCTCCCTCTGCTGCTGAGCGGAGGACTTCTGCCAGTCTGCAAACACGAGAAAATACACACAAACTATTGAAATGGCATCACATCATGGTCATGTATCGTACAATGACATACACAGGTTTACATACAAAAGCATGTTGATTTTTTTTTACCGTATTTTGGAGATTATGAAGGATAACGCAAAACAAGTTTGACTCATTGTTGTTTGTGGTTTGCCAGAATAAACATGTTTGCTAGTTTCAAACTCTAATGATAACAGAAACTACTAGAATGACTATGATCAAAGTTTCCATCCCCTTGTTCTCAATGCACCCCTTTACATCTATGACAACTTAGGGCTTGCAGTCTTTTTTGGTAGTTGTGGATGAAGTTGTTTTTCCTCTCTGATAGTAAAGCAATCCGCAAGAGGCATACATCTTGGCAAAAAGCCTACAGTTATTGTTCATATTTCTTGTGCTGCGGCTTTCTCATTCCTACTGTTATGTAACTGGTGACACAACACTGAAATTTCACCCACTGTGGGACGAATAAAGAATATCTTAATCTAATCGTAAAAATATCTTATACTTGGGCATGGACTTGATTATGGCTTCACTCAACCATTAACAATGAATGGGGGAAAAATATGAATTGTCTTATAAATCATAATTTGGCCAAAACAATGAGATTTCTGGGTGTTTCAAGCAGAACTGTAAAATGGTTCCTTATTAGTTATCTATTTATTGTTACCTTCAATAGCCATCATGACTCGGAGTTCTCTGGTGAGCAGCTCAAACCTCCGCTCCAAATCCTGCTCCTCTTGTCTGTTCAACAAGGACGCAAAAATAAAGGCTCTATTCAAGGCACAAAACTGGACTAAAGTTTTTTGGCAATGATCAACTCACAGGAGTTCCAGGTTGTCTTGTCTCCGGATGAGAGCGTTTTTCTTGTTCACTAACATAAACCACTCCTGAATCAGACGCTCTTCTTCATCTCGATCACTTCCTGCAAATGAAGAAAAATATAGATGTTTTTACACTGCAAAAAATGATAAATTATAAGGTAATAATTATTGCTTGAATTTATTGTAGTTTGGGTACTTTCTGACTGTGAAGATTTGCCAAAAGGACAAAGCCGTTTAGTCTTATATCAGGAACTGTTGCTTCATTTTCTCATTCCAAGGAAGACATTTCGTGTATCTTTTAAAATAAGATAATGTTTCTTGTCCCATTAGCAAAATTTGACTTATTTCTCATCACTTTTTGTAGTGTATTGGTGCATCTCATGAATATTGTTATACATTATGCACAAGCCAAATGTATATGTCAGTGTGTTATTGTCATATTCCGAAAGAAAGTATTTGTTTACCAACCTGCTTGTTTTTGAAAGAGGGATTAAATCAATTTAGTTGAAAAATCAATTTTTCCTCCCAAAAACAGCTCTACAACACGCAACTCTCTCTGGCCAAAATATACATAATCTTTGTCGTGACTTGGGTACCGAGGCTTTTGCCAAACTTTCACAAATTTTGGACAGGGAAAATAAGGACTTTAAGCTGAGGAAATTTACAGTAATTTTCAAATAGCAAAACTAATCCATCCAACCATTTCCTGGCTCTAAAACAGTTGGGTTCTATCACTAGTTTTGGATGTATTTGAAAAAGAGATCAGCTCTCAGCCCAAAGTGTCAAGTAGTGACTCTCAAGGCTCTTTCTTACAAGTATGCAACAGATAACATGTTTTCAAATGAAATGTAGACATTATATTGTATCTAATTTATCTACATATTGCAAGACTTTCTGTTGGGATAAAAAACATAGTAAACGCCAGCTTTAAATCTTACAATAATTAGCTATGTTTACAAGATGATATTTTTTTGTAGTCCTCACCAGTTTCCATGAGGCTGCGTAGTCTCCGCTCCACGACAGCCGCCCTGCTGTCGATGTGTTTCTGCTCCGTCTCCAGAGCGGCCAGCTCACTCACGACGTACTGACTGGTGTCCTGTAAGTACTGACCCCAAACGCACGACAAACACACAGCGCCACACACAAAAACCACACACAACCAGTCACACACAAGTGAAGAGGCCGTCACCATCACACACACACACACCGCAGAGCAGCCCAGCAGACCAGAAAAGAACCAGAGGGAGAGAAGGTCAGAGGATTAGAGATGATAGACTAGAATCAAATCAAAAGACTGTTTATAGGTGTGGACAGTGCTAACATACGAGCTTGCTGCCATCCAAGCAGATTTATCTGATTTATTTATATTTATATTGTTTTTGTAAATCCCGACATGACCCGTAATAACAGACCAATCAGGTGCCTTCCATCCTCAAATTCAGCTTTGGATTGAATTTAGTGCAAGCAGCCGCTCTCTTGATTGGCTCTTTGGTTGCTATGAGGTTGCTATAAGAGGATTTGGGGCCTAATTTCCGAGCCAATTTGAATTAGCTCTGATCATCTTCTTCCAGAATAATAATAATAATATAGGTGACATCAGCACTCACACTGTCCACACCTTTTTTTTTTTTATTTTTTTTTTTTTTTTAACGATTGATGAATCAATTTTAAAATTCCAAATAAAGCCAGATACAATGGATTCCTTAGATTCTTGGATTCTTGTCAAGTATTGCCAATTATCTAGTGCTTTTGCCTTTGTTTGGATTTAAAAAAAATAAAACAGGTAATAAAAAATAACACAAATTGGTCAAAAAGTAAAGTAAAAGTAGAAGAAGATAGGTTGACTGACGATGCATTTTGTGTTGAAGAAAATCAAATATGAAATGACACATTTCGAGACAAACTGACCATAGTTTCCTCTTCTGGCTTCGACTGTGCATCAGTTTTATTCTCTGCAGACGAAAACAGTTTATAAGAAAACAGAAAATAATGTCTGCAGTGTCATTTTAAAGTTGCAAACAAACCTGTACTGCTTGGACTGTTAGGAGAGCTCGTGTCTTCATTCTCCAGAAACAAAAACAAAATCAATAAACTAAGTAAGTATAAAATAATAGCTTCCAACAATCAATGTATTTACTCACTTGAGATTTGGCTTTGCCGGTGGTTCTTGGAGGTGCAACTGGGATTATTGAGTCTTCTCCTGTAAACAAGATGCGGTGAATCAAAATGTCGATGACGATTACCGAAACATTCCACTCCAAATATACTAGAGGCATTTCTTGAGACAAAAGATAGTCTCATGGGCTCATATGTTTGGGCTTCTCTCTCCATTTTGAGCTTCGGAATGTGTTTTTCTAGTGGTATGGCTTTAACAATAAGCCCTTCATCCATGTTTTGTTGAATGTTTTCTTAAAAATCGGACTACATTTATTAAAGAAAATCAGTTAGGTTTTGACAGCACGAAAGAGCAAATGGCTTGAAGGTGTGGTGCCTTTTTTCATGGATAATAAATGCTGTTTGTCCTGGAAAATAGATTCTTGTAAAAATTATTGTATCAGTCCACAACATGTCTTCAAGTCATAGAGTATTTGAAGAGTCACTTTTTGACGCTTTGGAGAGTGGATAGGCTGAGTTTGAGTGTCTTCTTCTTCAACTCTCTTCTTTTTCAACTTGGGGTTAAAAGGCTGATCTAAAACTAGTGATAGGATCAAACTGTTTGGAGAGTGAGGAACTAGTCAGATGGACTGTATAACATATTCAATATATTTTACGGTCTGAAGTAAGATACCCCAGCTTTAAAATACCAATCAGGCCTTTTGTTTTTCACCTTAATCTAGTCTGTTGCGCTTCAATTTTCTGTCCGTCTTCACCTAATTTCTTTGTTTCTTGTGTGAGTTTCTCCTTTCATCCCCTGATTCCCCTCTCTGTGCACCTGCAACTCTCCGCCCTGGTCCATGTGGTGTCTATTTTATAATCACAACTTTCCACATGTCTCCGCTATTTTAATAAGTCTTTCCAGCTGTTAAACCAGGCAGGTCCCTTCTGTTTTCCATTGGATTTGGACACTCTTCATCTGGGCTCTACCAACTCCACACCAACTCCTGTAATATTCACCATTAAACCCACTGAACCATCTCCTGCAGCATTCAGGCCCTGCTCAGACTTCGAGGCATTCATGTGCTTTTGGTTAGAAATTACCGTGTGTACAGTATGGCGCTTGACTGGAAATGTTTAAAGTAGTGTAACATAATCGGAGCAGGTGTAATATAAGATACTCTATGTCTAATCAAGACATAACACTGAGTAAACCAAATCTGGCATTGATTGTCTGCTATTGAATAAACATTTCTCAAATACTGAATCAGAGAATTGCATGCATTGCAGATGTACTGTCTGTGGGTTAGATAATTTGTTTGTTTTTACCATTGTTTTGCGTTTATTTTTTCCACAAAAATATCTCTTATGTTATTTCATGGAAAAACTATTCTTCGCTGGTGTGTAGAAGGGATTGCCAAACCCTTCAGCTGCAGATCAAACCCCAGTCTTGTGACCTCCAATGTGAAAAGCAGCATTATTGTCAAATGCCAAAGCCTGAATTTGACTTTTTCCAGTACATTTCACAAAATCTAAAGGTCTGCCATATAGCTTTAAACTTTTGCTGGTCAGAATGATGGTGAAGAGACATCGTGTGCCAAGTCATTTTGGCAAAAAGAGTCAAGAATTCAAGGTTTAGCAAAAAACACATACTGTATCATAGCAAAACACACCAACTCTGCCCTGTGCAACTCCAGGTAGTTATAACCGCCAATAGAATTTTTATTTATTTATTTAATAGCCCTACCCACAGGAGGGGTAACTGTTCTGAATCTCAGTAATAAAAAAACAAATGTATATATTTCATTCAAATATTTCCTTGTACCTTTGCCCGTCCTCTTGACCCTGGGCGGAGCGACCAGGGCCCCTCCGTCCTCCACACTCCCCCCCTCGTTGAGGCGGGCCATGCAGAAGGCCGCGGCGTCTGTCTGCGAGGGGGCGGGGCCACAGGGGGACAGGCCGTAACTGGATTGGCTGCTGTTGTGCTCGATCTGCAGCACGCTCAGCTCCTGGTGGGTAAAGTAGGAGCGGATCTGGCTGAGATACGTCATGACGATGAGGCGGTCTGGTACAGACAGCAGCACCATGTCCAGAGGCTCCAGGAGGCGAGAGATGCCCAGGGACTCAAACCCATCAAAGGCCTGGAAGAGACGGGAGGGACTGAACAAAACTGCACACACTAGTTTTAGACAAGGGTTCTTCATAACATTCTTCCTGTACCGACTTCTTCAGTGCATTGTGCAATATTTTTAGGGGCTGGAGAACTAGTGGTGTATCTGAGTGTTATTTTTTTATTCTCTGATATAACAGGGCTTTAGATCAGAAGAATAACTTTGAAATATATCTAACACAATGAATTTGGTATAATGTGGCACAGTTCTATTTATCTGGCTTAGGATTAATTGCAAATATTAAAATCTCATTCACGGCAATATTAAGAGGTACATTTATCAAGGTTTTGCCTGTGTTTAAAAGTGGTTAACCCCATAACATCGGAGCAAACTGAGTGATTATGCACATGCTGAAATAAACCATTAAGATTGCATAAGCTTTTTTTACTTTGTATTTTTTATTATGATTGTGTGATGCAGCTGCACCGTTTTCCTTCCTCTTGCTATTAGAAAGGAATACAAACATATAGTCTCAGTCACATAATCTCCTTATCAATAAGATACCAATATAATCACTTATAATCCTGTTACAGCTTACCTTCTTGTTGTTCATTTTGATATCGTGAGGATCCAGTTGGTCAAAGTCCCTAAAGAAAAGTGAGAATGAGCAATAGAAAATCTTATAAGAAGCACAAAAAATAGACAAGTAAGCACGCAATTTCAAGACTAAGCAGTGATCCTAAACGGAACAATGAAAACAAATGAGTTCTTACAGTTTCTCTGGGTGGAAGTGGTGCAGAATAGCACAGAAAGCGAGTCCATTTCTCCAGGACGTGCTGAAGTTTGTGACTTTCACTCCTTTGTAGTTTTGAGTGATGTCCTGACACCACTGCAGCAGAGACTGGCTGGAGTTCACCAAATCCTGGGAATTATTTACAACATTTGCGTGACTTAAAGCTGAGGTACCAAACTTTCCAATGACAACAAATGATAAACCATGTTATAAAATCTATCTAACTACAATCTCTGCTCTCAGAACAGTTTGGTTCTATCACTAAGATTTCACATGCATGTATTTTTGGCCTCTGTTACATCTTAACAACAGCTTTTTTAGGACAGAAGAGTGAAAATGAGATGAGGACCCTGTCAGCCAATCCGGTCTCAGCACAAAGCGACAAACAGTGACTCACAGGGCTCTCTTACAAGTAATACAAGTAATAACAGGGTTTATAACAATATGAAGACAGCATATTGTGGTCTGATTCATTGACCTTTACAAGACTCTGGGACAAAGAGAATATATTTACGGTAATTATAGAAAGAAAAGGTAGGTTTCCCAGGATAGAAAATGTAGATGTAGAAGAATATTGCAAAATCTCTTGACTTCATCTCATCACCTCTTTTGGGTGCTCCTTCCCATCGACCTCGTCCTTCACCACTTTTCTTGCATCTGTGGACTCAGCTTTGACTTCTGCTGTTTCTTCCTCTATTAAAGTAGGAAGTCTGGAGGTGGACATTTCATACACATGTGAAGGAGATGAACGGCTGCTCTCCACCTGTGGCTTTGTAGAAATGGGGTCGCCATTTTGGATTGGACTGTCTGATAGTTTGTTTTTGGACCTAGACAAGATAATACAAGAAAAAATATGTAACAAGGGTAGTTTGCATTTGTAATATCTATAGGCAGCAGTCGGTGTTAGTCAGATTACAAGCATAACAGACACATTTTTGCATAGCATTAGTTGCAGGAAAGGAATCAGATTAAAAGCAAGGTATTATTTTCAACTCCAACAATGCAGGGAGAAGCCTTATCTTATTGAATCAAATGGAAAGAGTAAGTAAGTAAGTAAGTAATGTTTATTTATATACCGCCTTTCACAGACAAGGGTCACAAAGCGGTTTACAATTGTTATTATTTTTTTGGGCACTTGTCCTCTCACTCCAGACAGAGATGGGAGCGGGGTCGCCGAACAGGAGGCGCATGCCAGATCTATTGTACATATTTTTAGTAGTAGGGGAAACCGGAGTACCCGGAGGAAACCTACGCAGACACGGGGAGAACATGCAAACTCCACTCAGAAAGGCCCTGGTCCGACCGGGATTTGAACCCAGGACCTTCTTGCTGAGAGGCAAGAGTGCCATCCACTCAGCCACCGTGCCGCCCACGAGAGTATCCCTTAACTACATCGCCAATGGTCCACTGCAACTCCCTTGACCAGTCAAGATATGAGACAAGATACCAGAACCATGTTTTATCAAATTGCATGACTTCCGCTGTAATCTGTTCTTTGCTATTCACCCACTGTATCATTGTCAGTTTCATGGCGTGATAATGGGAACCCTGAATCTGGCCATATTCATCTGCACTTGAGAATTTGTCGCCCATGGTACAAAATCGAGAGCTGCACCCCTCCTCGCCTGGAACGATCCCTCAGTCCTGCACCGCACAACCTCATAATAACCTATTACCACTTGTTGGGACTCATTAAAATCTTGGTATTCTGTCCTGTGCTGCGGTAATTTTTTTTTTTTACACCTTACTACATTCAAATTAAGGGTCACAATCTGGTTACGGTTAAGATTAGAATCAGCTATAATTTGGTGATGGTTAGAGTTGGGGATAAGGTTCTTGTAGCGAGACTAAATACCAAGACTTTAGGGAGTACCATCACTCATTGTGGGCTCAGACAAAGCCTTTTACAATCAACAATAAGTAAGATTTTTGTTATATCCCTAGATTATTACATGTATTAACTAGTTCTTTAGTCAGTCAAAATGCAGTCCATCTCTGCACACAAAATTAAATAAATCATAAGCAAAACCAATGTAACCGTACCACGAGTGCAAATGCAAAACTAACAAACAGTCTCAAAGCAGAAAAACATGATCGTTTCTTATTTAAATTAAATTCAAAATAAATGTGCAAAGAAGCAGCAGCATCAGCAGGACTCCAATACTGACTTACATGTCTTCTACCTCCTTCTTGTCCTCTTGTTTGTCAGATAATAACACTTCAGTCTTCGACTCAAGGGTGATAGGACCTTTTTCAGTCTTGCCCTTTTCTTGCCCGATATCCTCATTGGCAGGATCTGGATCTGGGATAAGCCGCTTCATCGTCTTGGCGATCGGGGACTGGTCTCCTGACATTTTTCTGATTTTAGCCAATAGGAGCTTCTCTTCTTCCTCAAGCTGTTTGTCTTTAGTTACTTGGCTCTCTACAGGTGTTTGAGACATGGAAACCTCCTCTTTTACGGCTGAATCTTTCTTTTCTTGCTTTTCAATCACTTTATGTTCCAGTGTTTTTGCTTCAGAGTCCCCAATATCGACTGTTGTCTTGGTTTCAGAAGGAACGCTCGGCAAAGACAGCATTTCAGTATCTACATGAACATCTGCTTCCTTCGGATCGAGCTGAGTGGGTTTTAAGTCTACTGTCTGGCCAGGTTGCTGCAATTGTGGAGAATTTTCATGGACATGTTCTTGGCACGATGTTGATGAGTTGATGGTTACAAAAAACTCAGTCCTATTTTGTTGCATATTTTGGGTTTGCTGATCTTCTGATGGTTTCTTGGTATCCGCAGGTTGTTGCAATGTCGGCTGAGTTGGGCTAAAAGAAGCCAAAGACTATTTTAGACAGTGCCATTCATTAAAATATGAGATGCCGAATATGTTATCCATGTGAAATTAAGCTAAAATGAATATAAAAGGCATAGGGAACCATGTGGTGGTATTGCATTCGGTTGCATGAGATGGACCCAACTTCCAACAATATTATATTACGATCTATCTATCAATCTATATGTTGAATACCTAAATGACTGGATTAAAAAGATCTGACCAAGAACTAAACTGTTAAGCCTCTCTGACAATGTTTAAAACCAGGTTAAAGACTGTGCCTACAACTGAGGGATTTTATATTTTTATCTTTCTTTTTAATGTTCTGTGATTATTTATGATTTTAATGCTTTCTTGTTTTGTTCAGCACTTTCAATTGCCTTGTGTATGAATTGTGCTATATAAATAAACTTGCCTGCCTTGCCTAATCTGGAGGATGAAAAAGATGGAAAAAATCAACCACCTTTGCCCAATTTAGCAATTTCACTGTATTGCTAAATAGAAATACTACACACTGTCCCTGATATTCACTTTTTTAATTGCATTTGCCAAGACTGCAGATGGAAACAAGCTCTTTGCTAAATCTGGGTATTATTTTCACTGCTGTTGAATAAAGAAAAGTAGCCGCAATCCACTTGAGATACAGTATCTGATTCCTCTTGACTTTATTTTGGGATCAATTGGGACTACTTGTTTATGGTTCATTTATGGTGCCGTGAATGAACTAAAAGCGTAATCGTTTTTGTTTATGCCTTTTTCAAAATGAATGAACCCAGGAAGGCTAGTCGTATTGCTTTCAGCCACTGGGATCCATACAAAAAAACACATCGTCAGTACATGTTTTGCAATCCCTCTTTTACTGCTGTGAACGTTCTTTGATGTGTCTCCGGTTTATACTCACCCTTCTGTCCTGTCCATGTACAGCTCAGCCAGCCACACAGACCCCAAATCTTCATGTCCCATCTCATACTCCACCTCCTCCTCCTCCTCTTGCCTCATCCACACTGGAATAGCACCAGACGGGACCTTTTTGGGTTTCGTCCGAGAATTCGCTGCTTTGATCGTTGGCTTTGTAGAGGAGGCATCATTGACAAGAGAAACAGTCTGGTTTAGTGATTTAGTTTCACTTTTTGTTTGGTCTTTCTTTGCTATATCAGGATTTACGGCCTCTTTCAACACCACTGGTTCAAGCGTCTTTGCACTGTCCTTTTCAACACATTTATCCACACTCGACTCTTCTTTGGTTCTTTCTTGCTTTTGATTGCTTGAAATGGCGTCCACTGGGTCGCGTTCTTGCTCTTTCTCGTGTTGGCTGGCGGCTAGGCGAAGACTTGCAACAAAACTGAGACTCTCTTTGATCGGTTCTGTTGATTTTACGGTCAGAGTTTTACCGTCTCTGGTGTCGCAGAAGTCTTTAGGGGGAGAAATGCTGACAGCTAAAGCTTCTTCTTGTGGGACAGTGGAGTTTGAAGTCTTTTTAAGTGATGATTCATCTTTCGTTTCCATTTTTGGCTGTACAGAAGTTGCTGGATTAATTCTAGGAGACACACAAATGAATACAAGAAGAGTTTTGAGACAAACATGTAAGCCTGAAGCAACCCTTATTGAGTCAAAACATTGGACAGCATGCTAGATTGCTTTGGTGCTTGTCCAAACAACAGCGAGTATCGTCATTAAGGCTATTTTAGGACACTGCCTCTGAACAGATTTGGATAACGTTGATTTAAAGCTGGGGTACCTAGTTTTCCATCTTTGCATATTCTACTTCATCCAACCACTTTTCAAACCTGTATAAGTGTGAGTGTATGTGAAATCATGTTCTGCAGGCCTGACTAATTGAAAAGCTAGGTACATTTTGACCAAAGACACAATTAACTCCACAAGAGAAATCAACCAACCACAACAGTGAAATCAAAGTCAGAAGAGGATGCTGTTATGTGAGGAGTGTTATTGGAGACACAACAGTGATAGTAATCACATCTCTTCAATGCAGACTCAGGACCGGGCAGCAGAGGGCACTGTCTCACCCCATTCTCCAATAGATCCATAACCACATAAACAGTGTTTGCTCTAGTGATGGCTTTTGGTAATACCGTTAGTAAGTCAAGGGAGATTTGTTAGCTGGCATTAAAAAGCAAATTAAAGCTGGGGAACCATAATTAGAGAATAAAGTAACACAATCCATTTAACTAATTATTTGCTCTCAAAATGGTTTGGTTTTATCTCTAATTTTCATTAGCATGGATTAGTAGCTGTGTCACTTATTTAGATCAGGGACGAGAGTAGCTCAGTTGGTAGAGCACTGGCCTTTAGGCCTGAAGATCGTGGGTTCGAGCCCACCATAAGACGTACTTCACGACTCCCACTGATGACTGCTGTTGTTGTGTCCTTGGGCAAGATGCTTAACCCCACTTTGCCTGAAGCCCTCACTGAAAGATCTCAGCTCCTGTGGACTCACCACCTGCAGGAGGATCAGTGAGGGGCTGGTGCACTGGGTGCAGCTCTGACTGCCACCCCCCCCCCCTGACATGGATGGATGGATGGACTTATTTAGATCATAGATCGTATACAGATGGACATTCTTAACCCTCAAATTTGAAGTGCTCATGGACGAAATTTAGCTCCAACTCGCTCTGGCTCCAATTGACAATGAAAAGTAAATTGCGCTAGCTCAGTAACCATGGAGGACAGCCCGGAAACATGTGGCACCAGGACCTGGAGGCAGACACCAAGAGGATGGGATACAGCTGGAGCAGAAAGCCCTATCGAGACGCTTGGAGATTGGCCTATGCCCCAGGAGGGGAATAGGCACACGTAAGTAAGTAGTCAGTAACCATTTGTGTCACACTCACTGTTTTGGGTTTAATCCATGCTTTAGCGTTCTCTATGGTCCTGGTATTACAATATTGTGACTTGTGAATCCAGATAAAAGCCCTAACCACTGACCAATCAGGAGTCCTCTTTCGCCGAATTTGGCTTTATCTAGCGAGTAGTGTGAGAGGGGGTCGACCAGTAACTTGCCCATTTCTACCAACAATATTTGCATTAATTCCTGCTCAAATCTGTCAGAGCAAGTCTTATCTGTGTCTTTATTTATCCTTAATGGCATCAGCATCAGGGGCGACAGTAGCTCAGTTGGTAGAGCATTGGTCTTAAGGCCAGAAGGTCGTGGGTTCAATCCCCACCTCTGCACCTTCTCCATCGACTCCCACTGACGACTGCTGTCGTTGTGTCCTTGGGCAAGACACTTAACCCCACTTTGCCCAAAGCCCCCACTGAAAGATCAAGGCTATGCTCACACTCAGAGAGCAGCTGCCCTCCTGTGGACTCACCACCTGCAGAGGGTCAGTGAGGGGCTGGTGCTATGAGACTTGGGTGGCATCTCTGATTGCCACCCCCCTGACCCAGAAATGGATTAAAGGGTAGAAAATGGATGGATGGATGGATGGCATCAGCACTAACACTATACAGTGTGTGCTTTAGATTATCCTTTTTTAAGACTTGCAAAGTGAAAAAAAAAGCCTCCCTCACAGCCAATCAGCTTTCAGCCCAAATTAGAGACGCTTTCTATTGGGGCATGTATCTATTATGTATGACAAAAAATTAATTTGGTTCCCCAGCTTTCACGCCAACATGCAGGTTTTAAACTCTTGCATCAGCATCTGTCACTCACCCCTCGGTCACACCCATGACGGCTGCACAGCTCCTCCCTCCGTCCCCCTCTGTCTCCTCCACTGTTGCCCGAAGCTGTTTTTCTGCCACTAACACAGGCTTTTCATTGTCTTTTATTGCTTCTGTGGATACATCCTGTTGTGAGTTTGCCTTTGGGACGTGGCCTGTTTGTGATTTTGAAGGCAGAAGTGGCGCCAGGTCTAAAGCGATCGTCTCTGTAGTTGGTTTAGGGCAGGATTTCGGTTGGGTTTCTGGTTCAGTGCGAGGTCTCTTTGGTTCTTCTTTCACCAATGGAGGAGTCGTGTGTGTAGGCAAAATGTTTTCTGATGTGTCGGCCTGTACAGCTGGTTGTTTTTCAAGTTTTGTCTCCATTCTGTGAACAAAAATAGCAAAAAAAACCATCAAGATACTATTTCATCCAATTTACTGTAGCCTCCACCAATGATAGAAATGTCCCAGCAAAGCACACCCTGAGCATACTTGAAAGACCAATAGAAAAAAAAAGCCCTTCACACAACCTTACCCGCCGCTCAAACCTTTTACATCTTGTGCAACAACTTCCTTCATTGTCTCTTTTTCAATTTCTGCTCCTGATTTTTCCTCCAGCTTTTTCCACAAAGGGATTTCGGCCTCTGTTATATTTTGTGGAGCTGGGACTGCGGTCACAGTAGCCTCCACGGGCAAAGAATTATCTTGAGATTGAATGATTGTCTCGGTGGAAGTTGGAGGAATTTGCAAAGTTGGGTGAATTTCATGGATATTGTTTGAGATAGTGGTGGGCTTTGTGAAAGAAGGGTGTTCAAGACTGAAAGAGAGAGAGAGGATAAAAGCAGACATTAGAAGCAGCAAAGAAAAGCAAAATAAATATAAATAGTGAAAGCAAACCAATTAAAGCTGAGGTATATAATTTAAAAAAGTTAGTATTGTTTGTTGGGAATCTTTAGGATCTATGTTGCTGTCCAAACATCTCTAAACTCTCCTAATCATAATCATTATCACCCTCTTCCTGAAAAATAAACTAAATCCTCATTTCCTTTTTCTTCTGAAACATATTACCGTTCCCTGAACAGAAGGACCATTCAACTTGCGGCCGAGGACCATATCAGGCCCATCAACCAATCTGATCCGGCCCAATATCTATATACATAATTTTTTTCCTTTTTCACTGGTTCGGTGGCTTCATTCTGATTTATGCCCAGTAAGTGTCGTCTCCTGCTTCAATCCTGGGTCGGTAATAGTTAGACACAGTAATTGTGACTTCTATGGGCATTCATTATAAGTCGAATAGCCTTTAATGTACAGCGATCACTGTCAGTCATCCCACTGACGAAATTTGGACGTTAGCATACAATAGTTGGTTGGAGGAAATGTCTCATCAATAACACAAAAGTCACTCTAATATAGAAATTGAGATCTTGTCCCTAAACCTGGGTAATGAAGTCAATCCAACCCCAGGGTCATTCAAACCCGCTGAATACCGCAGCTTTAACTATTGCACAACAATCAAAACACCACAGCTTTTACGGCGACGTGAATCACACAACGAACATGCAAAAATCACTCAAGAAAAAAGATCAAACTACTAGATTGTCAATAGATTCACTGATTGGTTGATTTTGTGTATTACAGCACAAATTCATGGGTTTTAGGAAATTCATTAATTTCTGGATTTCTGGATTATTCCCCTTTAAAACATTCTGATTCGCTTGTTTGTCTGATTACCAAGTTGTTGCCATTAGCTTCAAACCCATGAATAGCTGCTCATCCGTCCATGCAATCACTCCACTCCATTTATCATTGTGACTCACCGCTCTTGGCTTTTGGGGGGCGCAGTGCTCGTTTTGTCCAGAGGAGGGAGGCAGGGAGCAGGAGGCGCACTTTGCACGCTCGCTTTCACAGCCAGGGGCGGTTTGTGCGCGACCTTGGACGTGGTGTCGATCAAACCTCTCATTTTCTGTTCGTCCGATTTGTTCAGATCCTCTTCGCTCGCTGCGGCGGCCATTTTGCGTTTCAGCTTCTCCCCATCGTGCCTCTCTCGCTCCTTGGCCTTTCGCTCTTTCTCCTTCGCCTCCTTTTCCTTTCGTTGTTTTTCCTCCTCCACATGCCTCCTCTCTTCCTCCTGCTTCCTTGTCAGTTCTTCTTCCTGTTGTCTCCTCCTTTCCCTCTTTATCTCCTCCTCAAGGTGTCGCTTCGATCGCTCTTTCTGTCGTTTCTCCTCTTCCCTCCTCAGCCTCTCCTCCGTCTCTCGTTGTTTTCTTTCTTTCTCATCTTGCATTTCTTGCTCCTTTTCTTTCTCTCTCCTCAGCTCCTCTTGACGCCTCCTCTCCTCCACCTCCTTAAGTTTCTGAGCTTGTTCTTTTTGAATTTTCTCCTCTTGCTCCTTTTGTTTTCTAGTTCTAAGCTCTTGTTCCTTCCTCCTCCTCTCCTCCTCCTCCTCACGTTTTCTGATTTCTTTTAGTTCAGCCTCTTTTCTGAGTTTCTCCTCTTCAATCTTTCTCTGCGCCTCCTCCTGCTGTTTTCTTTCTTTCTCTAGCTCCAAACGTCTTTTCTCCTGCTTTTTTTGCATTTCTTCCTCCTGTTTTTTCTTCTTTACTTGCTCTCTCTTGTTCTCCTCTTGACGCCTCCTCTCCTCTTCCTCCTCCTTAAGTTTCCTAGCCTCGTCCTCCAAACGCCTCACTTCTTCTTGGCGAATCCTCTCCTCCTCTTTCTCCTGCTCCCTTAGCATTTCTTCCTCCTTTTCTTTCTCTCTCCGGAGCTCCTCTTGACGTCTCCTCTCCTCCTCCTCTTTCAGTTTTCTGGCTCTGAGCTCTTGTTCTTTCCTCTTCGCCTCCTCTTCCTCCTTAAGTTTCCTAGCTCGTTTCTCCTCCTCCTCCTTAAGCTTTTTTGCTCTGAGCTCTTGTTCCTTCTGAATCCTCTCTGCCTCCTCTCGTTGTCTGGTTTTAAGTTCTGCCTCTTTCCGGAGTTTCTCCTCTTCAATCTTCCTCTTCACCTCCTGCTGTTTCCTTTCTTTCTCTTGCTCCTGACGTATTTTCTCTTTCTCCTTTTGTATTTCTTCCTCCTGTTTTTTCTTATTTTCTTGCTCTCTCCTGATCTCCTCTTGACGTCTCCTCTCCTCTTTCTCCTCCTTAAATTTCCTAGCTAGTTTCTCCTCCTCCTCCTTGAGCTTTCTGGCTCTGAGCTCTTGTTCCTTCGTCCTCCTCTCCTCCTCCTCTCGTTGTCTGATTCCCTTAAGTTCAGCCTCTTTCCGGAGTTTCACCTCCTCCTGTCGCTTCCTTTCTTTCTCTTGCTCCAAACGTCTTTTCTCCTGCTCCTGTTTCTTGTGTTCCTCCTCTTTCTTCTTTTTTTCTTGCTCTTTCCGGAGCTCCTCTTGACGGCTCCTCTCCTCTTCCTCCTCCTTTAATTTCCTAGCTAGTTTCTCCTCCTCCTCTTTAAGCTTTCTGGCTCTGAGCTCTTGCTCCTTCCTCCTCCTCTCCTCCTCCTTTTGTTGTCTGATCTTTTCATGCTCTGTCTCCTTTTGGAGTCTCTCCTCTTCGACCTTCCTCTGCACCTCCTCCTGTTGTCTTTGTTCTTTCTCTTGCTCCAGACGTCTTTTCTCCTGCTCCTTTTTCAGGTCCTCCTCCTGTTTCTTCTTCGCCTCTTTCTCTCTCCGGAGCTCCTCTTGACGCCTCCTCTCCTCTTCCTCCTCCTTCAGTTTCTTAGCTGTGAGCTCTTGTTCTTTTCGAAGTTTCTCCTCCTCCAAACGCCTTGTTTCTTCTTGGCGAATCTTCTCCTCCTCCTCTCGTTGTCTCATCTCTTTAAGTTCAGCCTCTTTTCTGAGTTTCTCCTCTTCGATCTTCCTCTGCACCTCCTCCTGTAGTTGTCGTTTTTTCTCTTTCAGTTCACTCTTTTTCAGCCTCTTTTGCTCCAAACGTCTTGTCTCCTGCTCCCCTTGCATTTCCTCCTCCTTTTCCTTCTCTCTCCTGAGCTCATCCTGACGCCTCCTCTCCGCTTCCTCCTCCTCAAATTTCCTATCTTGTTCTTTTTGAAGTTTCTCCTCCTCCTCTCGTTGTCTAATTTCTTTAAGTTCAGCCTCTTTTCTAAGTTTCTCTGCTTCAATTTTCATCTTCACCTCCTCCTGCTGTTTCCTTTCTTTCTCTTGCTCCAGACGTCTTTTCTCCTGCTCCTTTTTCAGCTCCTCCTCCTGTTTCTTCTTCATCTCTTTCTCTCTCTTGACCTCCTCTTGACGCCTCCTCTCCTCTTCCTCCTCCTTCAGTTTCTTAGCTCTGAGCTCTTGTTCTTTTCGAAGTTTCTTCTCCTCTTGTTGTCTCATCTCTTTTAGTTCAACCTCTTTTCTGAGTTTCTCCTCTTCGATCTTCCTCTGCGCCTCCTGCTGTTTCCTTTCTTTTTCTTGCTCCAGACGTCTTTTCTCCTGCTCTTTTCTCTGGTCCTCCTCCTGTTTTTTCTTGTTTTCTTTCTCTCTCCTGAGCTCCTCTTGTCGCCTCCTCTCCTCCTCTTCCTCCTTATGTTTCCTAGCTTGTTCTTTTTGAAGTTTCTCCTCCTCCTCCTTTAGCTTTCTAGCTCTGAGTTCTTGTTCTTTCCGAATCCTCTCCTCCTCCTCTCGTAGTCTAATTTGTCTCAGTTCTTCCTCTTTTCTGAGTTTCTCCTCTTCGAGCTTCCTCTGCGCCTCCTCTGCTTGTTTCTTTCTCAATTCCACCTCCTTCTCCTCCTTTTCCCTTTTCTCCAGCTCCTCCTTTAGCTTTCGTTCTTTTTCTTGAGCATTTTTGATTTCCTCTTGTCGTGGTCTCTCCTCTTGTTGCTTTAGGATTTCTGCTTCTCTCCTTACTCTCTCCTGCTCCTGCTCTCTCCTCTCTTTCTCCTCCTTTTCTTCCTGTTCCAGACGCAGCTTCTCCTCTTGTGCTTTCTTCGCCTCCTCTTCTTGCTTTTTCTTCGCGATTTCGTCTTTTACCCTCTGCTCCCACGCTCGCCTCCTCCTCTCCTCCTCCTCCTCTCTTTGACGTCTCTCCTGCTCGAATCGCCTCCTCCTCTCCTCTCTCTTTTCGGCTTCTTCCAGTTTCCGCCGCTCCTCCTGCTCCTGCCTCTCCTTCTGTTTCAACAATCGCTCCTCCGCCTCCCTCTTCCTCTCCTCCTCTTCCTCCTGTATTTTCTTCAGAATCCGCTCTTTCTCCTTCTTCCTCTCCTCCTCCTCCCTTCGTAGCTTGTCCTCCTCCCCTTGTTTTTGCACCTCTTCCTCTCTGCTCTTTTCCTCTGCTCTCCTCTGCTCCTCCTGCTCCTGTCTCTCCTTCTTCTGTCTCAACAATCGCTCCTCCTCTTGTTGCCTTCTCTCCTTCTCCTCTCTGATCTCTCGCTCCTCCTGCAGAGCTCTCTTCTTCTCCTCCTCCAGCAGTTGTCGTCTTTCTTCCTCCAAAAGTCGTTTTTTCTCGTCTTCTTTTTTCAGACGCTCTGGTTCTTGCTTTTTCTCTTCTTTTGCAGTTTCTTGTGTTTGCTTTGCTGTGGTTTGCTGTGGTTCAACACTGGACAACAGATACATAATGCTGCTTAATCTGAGGAAAGTCCTGTAAGGATCAAGACATTTCTTTCAACTCAGTAAATACTAACATTATTATTGAATATCTAATTTACTTTCATCCAATTGTTCAATTTAGGTTTGAACAATTATAGAAAAATCGCACCCACTGTCCACTCCTTATTATGGTACAAAATGGCTTCCTTAGCTAACAACCAATTGTTTGTCATGACAGAAATGTTATGATGCACTGAGTACATTGACATCAAACATTAGGACACTAGGACTCCTGCAATTCTGAAACCACTAGAATTCCCAGAGCTGTCATATTGACTGCTCAAGATAATTTCATACAAATAATGACACAGAAATAAACTACATATAGAAACAGAAAAAGACAGAAAGTTATGAAGACCAAAAATGTGCATGCACTGAGTCATTACACTTCTAAAACTAAAAGCCATTGCAACCAGATGAAGTCTGGGACGGCTACTCCTAATCATAACAACTATCTGCAGCTCGAATTATATTTATTTACTGTACTAGAGGGACGGAAACTTCCCACTAGTACGACTTACAGTAGCTACGAGGTGTCCGCACTGTAAATAAACTTTGCTAACAATAGTGAGGGCCACCAAAAAACACAAGATAGTAATAAATAATGACCATGACCTGAATAACAAGGTAGCCATATAAATCATTGAAATCCAAACATAGTTGAGACCAAATCTGGAACTCTGACAGCAGCAGGGAGTGAGAAAAACTAACTATATTTTCAATAATCAAAATGTAAAAAAATGTTGAACTTATATCTTATGCAACAATATGTCTGTGACCACTTCTTATTCTGCACATGGCAACAAAATAACAACACTTTTTTTCCCTGGTCTATGCCTCCACCAAAACAAACACAATGCCCCTTTAAAAGTGTTCAGATTACCTCTTGATATCATATAAAAACCAATCTTCCAAAACTCTTTTCTGTTCCATTTTCACTACAGTGGAACCATCCTCCACCTCAGCCTCTCCTGTACCTCTTTGACTTGTCCCACTGCACCAAGGTTTAGAATATTATTAAACTGACCTCATATATACACAGTCAGAAATCCAATTCGCTTTTCAACACTGATACTCACCCAGGAGGACATCTTTTGATTGTGTCGCTTTTAGAGTCATCCTCCTCCAAAAACAGACCCGCGAAGTCCTGTGATTGGTCGGGTGATTCAAAGATGTCCTCCAGCTCGGCTAATGGGGGCGTCTCATCATTTGTGCCTATCTCTCTTTTTGGGGTGATAAAAGCCGCTACGACACTGGTGGAGGGCTGTTGAGGTGCACTGCTGTCACTCAAGGAGAAAGGCCAGGGAGGGGGCGGGGCTACGATCAGCTCTGAGTGGGACGGGCCCAAGCTAGGGACATAAACCAAATCTTTATTTTTGTTTTGTTTTTATCAAAGGGGTCTTAATTTATTAGACAACTAGCCGTGCAAAGGAGGGGTAAAGTGGCAGGGATTGAAGTTTCAGCCGTCCATAGCAGTTAGCAGGCGTTAGCTTGGATCAAAGCAAGGTGTGTGTCTATTTTGTAATAAAGGCGCAATATTTTGCTTTTCCAGCAAAGCGTCAGTCAATATTGAGACGCTAATGCTTTTTCCAGTAATATTACACAATAAAGCATTAAAGCTGTATATAGATAGACAATGCAAATGCAAAAGCTCAATGAAGCTCAATAGGGACAACGTTTTTCTCCTCCTCAGCTCCTATTGACTTACATTGCTCAATAAAAGTACTTTCTAAAAATAGTTATAGTAGCACAATTATTCTCACCACCGCAGCAGCAGAATCTTGAGCCACCACAGACATCAATTAAACACAAAGGAAAAATTTCCCCAAACAATCTGATCTAACCCTCTATAGATTTCTGCATTTCAAACACCAAACATGGGAATTGTACTGTACTAGATTGTTGTTGCCCCACTTACAGAAAAGGCAAAGGTTTTATTATACATACATAATACTGCATGTGTTGAATTGTGTGCTGAATGAAAGATTATAAGAACCGTAGAGCGTTGTGAGTTTTTGAAAGCTCATGCCACCACCGCAAGGACTCAAAACATCTGACTTTCATGCATCGCAAACTTTTATCCACAAATCTGCAACCAACACAATGTTTCAGGCCAAAACCAAAAGGCATTTGCACAGAAACTCACCTTTGTTTTTTTGTTTTGCCTTGATCCGTATCTGTTTTTGTGAGTGCTGTTGGCATTACTGGTTCTCGGGGGCCACTGGTGTTTGGAGTCACATGGTTATTTGGAGCTTCTGTTACAGCCTCCTCTTCAACCATGCTCAGATACGGTCCTGAAGAACGCAAACACAATTCAATGATAAGTTATTATCAACTTTGGTTGGTTTATGATGCAACTCTAAACAAGAGAGAGACCAGAGAGAGAGACCGGAGAGAGAGAGACCAGAAAAAGAGAACAGAGAGAGAGACCAGAGAGTGAGGCCAGAGAGGGATCAGAGAGAGAGAGAGCAGAAAGAGATCAGAGAGAGATCAGAGAGCAGAGAGAGATCAGAGAGAGACCAAAAAAAGAGAACAGAGAGACCAGAGAGAGAGACCACAGAGAGATCAGAGAGAGATCAGAGAGAGAGCGAGACCAGAGAGAGACCAATAAAAGTGAACAGAGAGACCAGAGAGAGAGACCAGAGAGAGATCAGAGAGAGAGAGAGACCAGAGAGAGACCAAAAAAAGAGAACAGAGAGACCAGAGAGAGAGACCAGAGAGAGATCAGAGAGAGATCAGAGAGAGAGGCCAGAGAGAGATCAGAGAGAGACCAGAGAGAGACCAGAGAGAGACCAGAGAGAGACCAGAGAGGGATCAGAGAGAGAGAGCAGAGAGAGACAGACCAGAGAGAGATCAGAGAGAGAGAGAGCAGAGAGAGCCCAGAGAGAGACCTGAGAGAGAGAGCAGAGAGAGACCAGAGAGAGACCAGAGGGAGAGACCAAAGAGAGAGAGCAGAGAGAGACCAGGGAGAGAGAGAGCAGAGAGAAACCAGAGAGAGAGACCAGAGAGAGACCTGAGAGAGAACAGAGAGAGAGAGAGACCGGAGAGACCAGAGAGAGACCAGAGGGAGAGACCAAAGAGAGAGACCTGAGAGAGAGCAGAGAGAGAGAGCAGAGAGAGAGAGAACAGCGACAGACCAACAACAGACCAGAGGGAAGGGCCAGAGAGAGAGAGACCAGAAAGAGAGAGAGCAGACAGGGAATTTGCATAGCCTCCTCCAGGACCTAGGTCTCTCAGCCGGCCTGGGTATGGCTTGAGATCAGATTGGTCCAAATGGATAGATGAATAATGAGTCCTGGATCTACATCATTGTACATACAGTACCAACTATGATCTACATATTTATTGTAAAGGTGTCTAGAGGAAGAGACATGAAAAACAAATGCATGATGTTTCCCATGCATTTACTACTTCCGGAACCTGAAGGTGGACGGCCCCTTCACGGCTTCCTTCCAGTGAACATGGGTTACAAACTGACTAACTTACAAACCAGATAAAAACATAACCTGCGGCAAATGTACCTGATGGACGAGTGTGTACGTTATTTAGTGCTTTGATGGGAGTGGATGTGGTTTGGGATGCGGCCAATCGTAGAGGGAGAACCAGAGAGGACAGAGGACCAGGAGGGTCACACAGAGCCTCAAGGTCTGGGCTGATCAAGGGAGGGATGGGGGTGGGGTCTGGAGCACCCACAGCACCCCCTGGTGGACAAGACAGCAGTGTGCAGGAAAAAGAGACAGGACAGGTTAAAGGTATTGGCAGAAGAAATTGGAAGCAGTCAAGATTGATGTTTTTAGGTGTTATGTTTATTTGTACAAACTCAATATTTTAACATTTTAGCGTAACAAGCCACAAAAATATAAACATTGGAATGAGTAACTTAAGAATAGATTGTTTCGATCTATTTGAACTATAGTGGGATATTTCTAGTCCATAGCATTATCATGGGACAAGCAGGTGAAGGATCTTCCGCCATAAAATGTTTTGCACTTAAAATGGATCAATTAAAATGAGCTATGACATTCAACAGGGGCCAACAGAATGTGTGGAGTGAGAGACAAAAAAAGCGCTTTGTGACTCTGGTCTGTGAAAGATTACTTACTTAGATGACTATAATGGTTATTTTAAAAAAAAAAATAGGATGGCTTTTACAAACACTAGTGCATAATATCATGCATGAAATAATCTAAGGACAACCAAAGCTGCTGACCATACCTGACTCTGCTGCAGACTGAGAAGAAGCCGTTTGAGTTGAATCAGGAGCAAAGGGGGAAGGAGAGGAAGGGCGACCGACAGAGGCCACTATGTGCGGCTTGAAAATATGAGACCGGCCTAAAATAAAAATGGAAAAGATATGTGTTGAACTACAAGTGATAAGGAATGATTATACCAGAGAGGAATTAGAGTACGAACCAGAAGTCCTGTCATGCTCAGGTTCAGCCTCTGGAGGGCGCTGTTGGCCTGAAACAGGAACTGAACAGGGAAAAAGGAGAACATTTTTGAGAAAAGACAGAAATAGGGAGATTCCACAGCTGGGTAGATAGAGAAACCTAAAACAGAAGATATTATTCATTCCAAGATGCATTCTTTTTAACTAATGACAATGAATACAAACAAGAGAATAGATAAAACTGTAAGTAATGATTAGTGATGTTTTGGTCGTTAAATTATTATTCTCAAAGACAGTGACAAAGAGAATTCTAGCTGAAATTGCACAAAACTAACATTGATGCGATCGCACTAAAAATATTGTTGCCCCGGAGATGACTTCAAAACAAGTGGGAGAGACAACACGCACCCTCACACAAAGTATTTTCACAACACTCTGTCTGAGGGGTCACAGGAGCAAAGGTCCAGCACATTTTACAATACGGTTCTTCTCATGCACCAAACCAGTGTTTAGTTAGCATCGGAATCCTCACTGACTATGGAATAATTGTGCTTATAAAATTTGAACACAAAATTATGAACTTGTGAAAGTAGCACCAGAGTGTCATTTCTTTTTAGGTATTTTAAAACCCGTTTTCAAGTTCAGTTTTTAAGTAAGCAAGTGATCTTTGTTTATATACCGCCTTTCACAGACCAGAGTCACAAAGCCACTCACTCCACACAGAGATGGGAGCAGGGTTCCCAGTACAGGAGGCGCATTCCAGGCCTATTGTACATGTTCTTATTGGTGGGGGAAACCGTAGTACCCGGAGGAAACCTACACAGACACAGGGAGAACATGCAAACTCCCAGGACCTTCTTGCTGAGAAGCGAGTGCTATCCACCCAGCTACCGTTTTTGACACACATTTTGCATTGAATTCTTTTTTGAGTACATTTCTATTTAATTTGACAAAAAAACTGTTTAACTGTTTTTGAATGTACTTTTTACTTGTATGTGAGGCGACCTTGAGTGTCAAGAAAGGCACTTGGGAAATAAAATGTATTACTTATAATTGTTTTTACCTATAAGCAATTCTTAAGTTTTAATTTAGTGACTCAGTCTATACATGTCTAAAACCATCATGAAATCAACATTGACGATTAGTATTTTGCATGTATTAGTAGAAGGTAGCTGCCTCATGCCTCCCTACAATATTTAGCAAAAACTGGTTTAGAAATGAAAGCAGCCCTAGTTAATCATGTCACTGAACACAGCTCAGACTAAAACACATGCATAAATGAATGAGGGCTTTCCCATCTGCTTATACCTTTTGTCGGCCCTGACTGGAAGATTTTGGGCAGAGAAGGGGGGTGAGAGAGGGGGCTGTTGGGGGCCACATGCTCGCTGGGAGAGGTGGTTATATTATCCAAATTTGATTGAGATTTTGACTGAGTTTTGGTCTGCTTAGGGCCGCTCGTTGTGGATGAATTTACAATAATATCTACAGAAGATACGGCAAGCGAAGGAGGATTGATTGGATCCTGTTTCGTGACCAGTTTTGAAGAAGTTTTATTTGAAAACGGCGAAATAAACAGGTCTTTTGAATCTATTTGTAAAGCGGTAGTACATGTAGATGGAGTCATTGCTAAGGTTGTAACTAAGGACGCTGGGGTTGCTATGCTACTACAATCAACAGGAAGCGAGACAGGAAGTGACACGAATGTGGTAGGAGCATCTAGAAGAAGTTTAGCGTCTGGTGTTTGAGAGGTGTTCTGTGCTAGTTTTTTGTGCTTGGATCTGGGTGAGGGCTGAGGGGAGGGGCCAGGGGAGGGCTGAGGCTCTGATTGGACGGGAGCAGAGGAGAAGGCGTGTCTTGTTCGGCGTGGAGAGAGGCGAGGGGCGGTGGGCAGCGGTGGACGGGATGAAGCTGGATGGATAGATGGATGAAGAATGAGGTGACAGAAAAACAGAAAACAAGACAGAACAGACAGGTGATTATGGAAGAGATAGTTTTGGTTTTATATGGAAGAAGGAAATGAAGTTACAAGTTTAATAAATAGTCGTCAGGTCCAAGACTTCTTTAAAACTCATGTACGAATGAGAGATTACACTTCTTTGTGGATGATATGGATTGTTGAAATGTGATAATTAAAGCTCAGGTAACTGGAGCTAACTTTCAAGTTAAAAAAAACCCTATGTAATACAGTCTAATTTCTCACTCTCGAGAGTTGGTTCCATCACTAATTTTCACATGTATGTGTTTTTGGCTCATCTTTAGAACAGTTTTTTCCGACAGAAAAGTAAAAAAGCTCTCAGCCTGAAGTGTCAAATTGTGACTCCCCAGCCCAGGGTAGTTCTTACAACTAAATACACAATAACAAAAAATCAAATATGTCAAAGGCATCATGGTGGGGTCTGATTTTACTTTCAAAAGACTCTTTCTGTTGGGAATGTTAGGTTCCCCAGCTTTAACATGAAGAAGAAGATGAGAAGAATGTTAATCTGCAGTGTAAATTAAAGTGAATGAACAACTTTAGGACATCAAAGACCAATAGGGACTAGTTTTCTATTCCATACAAGACAAAAAATCAGCAAAACAATGCTATTACCTAATACAAAATACATCCATCATCAGGGTTTCTAAGGAGTGGACATTGTTTTAGAAAAGTAATTATTGCAGTATGAACAATGGACACACACAGACATAACATGGAAGTGATCAGGTCATGGCCACTTCAGTTTTGCCTCTGTTGTTTTGACTATACTAACACCTTTTGGTCTGACGTAAATTGTCGTATAAATTGAATGCTCTGTTTTCACTCTGTCTGAAAAAATCTCTGAAGGAACTTTGTAAGAACTCTGAAACTGGACTAAGGGCCCCCCACGGGTATGTGAGCTTCTGAACCCGCCTCAAGTACTTTAACAATTATAGTATGTGGCAAAAGGTCAAATATTGTACAGTTCTTTTCATGTGTATTGTAAGTGACCTCATCTCCCGCTGTGTCATGTCTGCTCTGTTTACATCATCTACACCAACAACACCAATCCTAGGTATGTGTGGTCTGTCTGTCAATGCAATCTATTCACCATGTCGTCCACAGCCAAACCTAATGCCATTATCGTTATACAGTGACCACATGACTCCATAGGATTTGATACATAAGTGTGAATGAAAAGGAATGCCGTTCAAACCAGTTAGAAAATGGCACTGATGTGTGAAATGGTCTAATTTAGAGAGAGGCTCAGACTGTCAGAATGTGGTTGTTCATGCCCTGAGAACCGATCACACACCGGGGTTCAAAGATATTGGTGTAATTCGGGTTGAGGCAATGGCACAGAGGTACCTGCTGTTGGGGCAAATGGCTTCTGATCGGATGGAGGAGGAGGAGCAGGGCGGTTGGGGCGAACGAGAGTGTGTGAAACAGCTACGGGAGAAAAAAAGGGAAAGGAAAAGACAGAGAGACAAAGATGTAAAGAATAGAAGGAGAGTGGCACAGTTTCTAGACAAAATATGACATCAGCGGTAAGAACGATTCGCTGACAAGCCAAGGAAGATGTACTGAAAGTGAACAGGAACTTAGTGTGTTTGAAAACTTTCACTGGCTCAAGCAAGTCTGAACACAAGAGAAGTTAGAGCTAGTATTTGAGGCTGTGCAATTCAGACTCAGCTGTGAAGTTACCAATATTCTTGCACCAGAATGTATTACAGATTTATCTTTAGATGAATATATCTGTGTCGCATATGTTTTCTGCACTAGAGGATGCAGTTTTTTTATACTTGCTTCTTCATTGGGTATTTTATTTTTTAAGTGTAGAGTTGTCCTAGAGTTGTTAATATTCACCTCTCTTGTGTTCTGTGCTCCTCATTCCAACTGTTCTTTAACTTGTGATGTAACACTGACATTTCCCCACTGTGGGATGAATAAAGGGTCTCTTAATCTTAAATCCTAAGTGAGTCCTGGATCTATAGCATGTCCGTCCGAGGGAGCGGATCCTCTTTCAACGTGGGCCTTCCCGAGGAGACTGGGTTTTCAAGCTGTTCCTGGCTGAAGCAGGGGGGTGTAAGGTCAGTGGGGATGATATAGGACATTTTAAAAATACATTTATTAGGATCTATGGACAATGGTCATCCACCCCTTATGGACGAATAGCTCCTATGTGTTTGTTATTATTGCATTTCCTGTATTTGAAGGAAACATTTGTAACCAGGCGGGTTACTTCTGGGTTTTATTCCTACGGTCAGTGAACGCACTCGCTCCCTCGCTGTCTGCTTACCAGCTGCGTGTAAAACCGGTGCGCACACCAGAGTAGCACACCTCTGGAGCTTTGGGTTGGTCGTGCTGTGCGGTGGGGTCGTGAGTGTGGGGCAGACTAGTGAGTAAAACTTCTGCATGTGAGTAGTGTTTATTTGTTTCTTTCGCTAAACCTGTGTCACGGCAGGTGGTGGGTTGCTGGTGTCCGCTTCATGCCCGAGCTTCGTCTTGCGCCGGGTTGATGTTCATGCGAGGTATGGCGCGTTCCGCACAAGTTGGGTTTAAGTGTTTTGTTTATTCTAACAGTTCTGTGCTCTACCCAACAGTTAGCCGCTGCTGTTTGGTTTGGCTCATTAAACCTGTTGTAAATAGTGTTTTGTTTTCCTTCACTGCTATATCTTAAAGATTTTATTAATTTAAAATAAAAGGTTGTTTTTTATCTATTGGTGTCAAAAATAAAGCTTGTATCTTTTCCACATTTCTGCTTCGGTCGTGTTTTGTTACCAGACTTCCCTGCCATGCTCTTAGAGGAACCCTAGCCTCCCTTTGTCACACATGTAATTAGAATTGATTTGAATCTAAGTGTGCTGTTTTTGTGGACAAACCTGTTGCGTTGAGAGATTTCCGGTCCTCGTCTTCGTCGCTCTCGTTGAAGTCGTCCATGTTCCCGATGTCGGTGGGTTTGACGCTCATGAGACTGGCCAGACTCTGCATGTCTTCATCACTGAGGGAAGAAGACGAGATTAACAACTACACAAGAACAGTCAACTAAGTGATGATTTGAGGTAATTAGTTTAGGATTTTCTTTTTGTATTCATATGTCATAATATAATGGTTTTGTTTTGTCAATACCATATGTGGTAGTATCATGTGTTGTTCTTTGACTATACTGGAGGGTCTAAGAAAAGTGATGATCCAAAACACTTATGGACAGTTGTCACCCCTATGGACATATCCTTCCTATAGTAGTATCTTTAGTAGTCATTATTTATTTAGCGCCTTTCACAGACCAGAGTCACAAAGCGCTTTGAAATTGTGGTGGGAATTTCTCTCTCACTCCACACAGAGATAGGAGCGTTCATTATTATTGCATATCCTGACTTTGAGCTGCAATTTAAGACGACTGCTGTAGTGATTTAGGGTTATACACAAATTGATTACCCAACTCTACTGCCCAGATGGCTAAATAATTGGGAATTCTATCAGAGCGGCTTCATCCCGTGCTTTGACTCACGTGGCTTTCCCCTCGCGGATGAAGACGCAGGACAGGGACAGTTTGAGTGAGGCCTCCACCACCTTCACGGACAGCGGCTTGAGCGCCAGCGTCAGGTCGGTCTGTGTCGGAGTGGGACTCGCAAAACGCTTCATGTTGATGTCTGCGGACGCCAGCACTTTACGGTGGCCCTTGCTCTCCTGGAACAGACAGATGTGGAATATGATCATGAATTATTTGTGTTCATTATGGCCATGAGTTTAATAATTTGTTAATTCAAGTTTAAGAATGTGAATGAATGTCTTTTGTTTAGCTGTGCTGGAACTTACGGACTAATTATTTATTTGTAAGTTTCTTTGAACTGTGCTATACAAAGACACTTTCATACGAAGAAACTTTCCTTGTTTCTTCCTCAAGTTTGTCTAAATTGTCTGGCACAGGCAGTGAGATGGATTTTTTTCTTAGTAAAAACTACAGTAAAAACCAGTTTAAAAACATTAGATCAACGTTAACCCATCATCAGTTGAATACCATCTTCTTTCAGATGTGATTATAATGCAGTTAAATCAAATGAGACCTAGTCAGTATAACTCACCCCTTCGAGCACAAATGTCCACTCTTTGTCCTCAAACTCCTCAGCATTAGGATCCTGTCAACAGAAAACACACAACAAACAATTATTATTTGTTAATATATTATTATTTAATATAGCATTTCTTTTCAATGCATTTCTTTTGGCTTTTGAATTGTCCAGATGACTTTGTTATTTAACTTTCAAGCTTTTAGACACCTCTGCCCCATCACATTCTCGGTGCTAAAGGCATAACCTCCTCATACATATCAATGGTGTAATGCCTTGCTCAGTTTTCATATACAGTAATTGCATAAAAGGTCAGCTTTAAAAACAGAAATTCACAAAATTGACAGTGAATACTCAAACATGGACCATTTACTCAAATATAATACGCAAACTCAAATATAGGTTGTTTCTGGATGTATAGACAGGAGGTAATGAAATCAAAGTTGCAGCTTAAGACACTTGAGAATTCTTACAAACAATAGCTAAAAGATTGTGACTTAAACTTCAGCTGTACATCCACAAATTAATTGCTTTTTGGGATAAAAACAGTTTCTTAAGACTAAATATAGCATTAGTAACAGCTGTAATACAGGTCCAGCCTCCGCCCTCGGCCTCTGTGACCTGTGCACTGTGTAAATAGGGGCTGGTGTTTTTACCTTGAACAGAGTGACGGAGATGTCGATGTTTTCGGGGACGGGCCACACCACCGTGCCCCGGTACGGGTTCTTGATGCCCGGCTGCCAACTGTGCAACTGAAACACAAAACCTTAATAATCACTTTCTTATAATGTTCTGTATATATGTATATTTGTTCATTTTTATTTCAATCCAGACACAACACAAGAGCTCACTACTTAGTTGTGGAGCGAATACGGTTTGATATCTTAAAGCACATTTACCCAGTACAATTTATGCTCAAATAGCTCCAACAATGAGAATAAAAGATTTTTTGTGATGGTTTACATTTATTTCCTGTTTTGATTTTTAATTTGTTAACCCTTGCGTCTTCTTTAGGTCGGCACTAGATCATACGAAATCGAGACGGAAGCTGAAGTAAATATAACCCAATACCTAAACTTATTGATCCATGTCTAAACTTAACCAGCCTTTTCCATAGAATAACCCCAACCCACCTTTAAAGGAATAGGCCACTGTTTTTACATACTGACATATGTGCTTACCTTACCTTAGACTAGTTGATATGTACCTGTCTGATCTTTGTCCGCGCACTAACTCCAACAAGTCACGCTGCTTCTATTGACGGAAGTGAGTGGGAGAGAAGTCTTTGGGTGTTAGTGCGCGGACGTAGCGCTCCTCGTATTAGTACGCATCACAATATAGTACCCCTTTTTATCCGCTGAGAAAATCGACATGTTACATTTCTGTCTTACTATACTTTGTAGAGTAACACGTCACGTAACTGTATTTGAATAGGGAACACATGGAAGAGTTTAGTAGCTTCTAACGGGAGCTGATTTGGTACTATACAGAATGTGGAAGAGGCTCCATTTGCATGACAGAGCGCACGGACAAAGACCAGACAGGTACATATCAACTAGTCTAAGGTAAGGTAAGAACATATGTCAGTATGTAAAAACGGTGGCCTATTCCTTTAACCCTAACCTAAACCCAACCCCTCAAAAGTAGGATTGTTACTTCCGCTTCCGTCTGTCTTCTTTAGTTGCACTTCCTGTTTCCTGATACCCGATTTTTTTTCTAATGAGTTCATAAAAATGCTTATTACTACATACAAGTTGTGTTATTAATCCGTAATTTAATTGAAAACTTGAGCTCATTGATTCAGCTTGTGTATGAATACAGGCCGTAAAAAGTGCTGAGTAGAGACTTATTGTGACGCTCTCCTGCAATCACAGAACAAGGCTGCGTCCTCTAGCTTCTACAGCGCTGCTAAACACAGTAGCATGTTAGCAGAATTGGCTATAACTTCTCTGGCTGTAACTGCAGACACAGCAAAACAGTCCAAACGACACAACAGTGAGGAAGAGAAGAGGGAACTGAAGCGAAAAAATTATCAAAGAAGAATTCAAGCCCGGGTGAACATAGCTAGCTTACATCGTATCCTCTGGAGAGACTTGTCTATGGGAGAGACCAGCAGGAGCGGAGCCGCTTTGGACTATCAATGCTCGGACCACATTCGGACGCAGAACTAGCGGTAATCTTTCAGTTATATATTTTGTTAGCAGTGCGTTACTTTTGTACCATTTCATCGGTGATTGTTGTACAGCTTACAAGAAGCGCTAATGCTAATGTTAGTATCAGACCGCAAATAAAACTAGATGGCTCCGTGGAATGAGAGCGTAGGGGCGTAGGGGAAATGAGAAGCCTGGTAGAGAGTTGAGGGCGGTGCTAAACATTTAAACCATGCAGAAACGGGTATAGCTCCTTTAAAGGCATAATTTTTGGAGTTCCGCTGTTTGGGCTCATTTCCTTTTGCCAACGTGACATTGTTGTTCAACTTGACAGAAAGAATTTTGCTCATCTCCTGTCCAACCATGTGGGAAAATAGCTGAACGTTTGCACACGACCAAAAGCAGTGTGTGATAGTCTGAATAGTCTGATACTTCACGGTTAAGACATATTGCTGTCAGGTTTGAATGTATTATGAACCTGAGGGGATATAAGATGTTGTTTCAAGTAAGTAAGTAAGTAAGTAATCTTTATTTATATACTGCCTTTCCCAGACCAGAGTCACACAGCGGTTTACAATTGTTATTTTTGGGCATTTGTTTCAAGCCCACACTGTTCTCCAAACATGTTCTTATTTGTTAGATTCAGTTTATTTGCCACTTGCAGTAAAATCACATTGGAATGCATTTGCAAAAATCCCGAGGCAGACTAATACATAGACAAAATGTGGCATGAAATGTATTAAATCCGATTAGTAACCTCCCTACCTCCACTTACTCCTTATCTGTATGAATTTCATGTACATTTTGATTTGCATTGTTTCTGCATAATGCTATTTGTCACTTTCGTTCTTAATGCTTCCAATAAAGAATGAATATATAATAAAAAAATGCATTTCAGTTCCTTCTAGATATGTAAAATTCAGTTTCACAAAACCAAAACATCAATCAAATGAACCTTGTAAGATTCCACAGTGTAGTTACCTGCGATAAACGAACCATATGTAGTTTATTGTTACACATTTTGTTATTACAAAACAACTAGAACTAAAACAGTTGCCAATGTTGGAAATAGAGGACACATTGCTGCTGCTCTGCTGGACTATACCCAAACTGGCAACCAAAATAAGGGGCTAATTTTGTTCACTGATTGGTTGTCTATCGTTTTTTAAAATGAACTGGCCTCGTCTTGACTGATGCTGTAGACGGGAGTAATCTTGTCTAGTGTTTATGAGAGACAATGAATAAGATGACATTTATTTGCCTTTTTTCCATCTCTCTCAAATCCTCAAATGCATTATGGGTAGTATTTATTTTCCTTATTTCTCTGTCTATTCTGCTGTTATGTGCGCAACTCTGCCATTGGCATTTCCCCACCGAGGGACAAATATAGGGTTATATCTTACAACTGTGGTCACTTCTTCATTTGAATCAAAACAACTTTAGGAGGACAACAACGACTTTTTTTCACAGGATTTATGCCACATTTAGCTTAAACACAATCATTTCAGATGTTTTGGATGTTTACCTTGGAGCACATGCGTCTGTTTCTTCGGGTCCACACCACCCTGAGTTTGTCCGGCTGCCTGAGGATCACAAAGCAAGTCAAATCAAAGATATTTTTTTCATTTCAAGTTATAATTTCTTACACCTGTCACATAAGCAAACACATCAATCCAGTCACACATTTCTACATCTTGAGTAGAATAATAACCATGATTCAAAACATTTTCAGATTTTAAATCCATAGAGACGTTACCAAAAGAACCTCACACTCTGAAACTCTCAGTGATGTATTTTTGTAAAGATATCAGTGCTTGGCCTGGAGCAGGAGTCTACAACCTTTTTGATCAAAGAGCTACTACCACCAAAGAGAAATGGCACAGAGCTACTCCTTCCACGGTAGTAATAACAAATGAAGTCTATATGATAATTATAAAATACATGGAGAACAGAGAGATTATAGTTTTATGTCCCTGCATTACTCAACAACTTGCTTCTTTAATATGCTAAAGTTATAGTTTTTATGTTAATTCATTTTAGTTTGGACTTATTGTTCATTTATCTTGTGCTGTGTTCTCCTCACTCCTACTGTTCTGTAACTGGTGATGCAACACTGAAATTTCCACACAGTGGGACGAATAAAGGATTTGTTCTGATCTATAATGTTCAAATCCAGGTTAAAATAGTTCTGTTTATCTGTGCATACAACTAAAGGATTGTATCTTATGATTGTAATGCCTTAAATGTGTGATTCTTTCTGTCTTGTCTTGTTAAGAACTTTGTGTTACCTTAGATATGAACTGGGCTATACAAATAAACTTGCTTATAACAGAGGGTTAGTTGTATTATTGACCTGATTTAGAAAAGCAAAGCAGCCACAACATTTGACTTGAATTCTTATTTAATTATGAGTCATAGAGCTCACATTATTCAATAAAAACAAGCAGACGTCTTGTGACTGTCATTCCAATTTTTTCCCCCACCAACTAAAACATTTTTTTGGTAAATAGACAATGTTTGCTTTGACCACTCTACGCATGGTCCTAATATAGTTGACCAGTGGGGACCTTCTTATATGGACTGAATGCATTCCTATTGTATTTTCACACAGCTGCCAAACAGGAAGCGAAACAGGAAGTTAGCTCCACTTGCGGCGCATTCAAATGAGAGGCGTGTCTTTTCACAGCAAAACACAGCCTCAGGTAATAAAAAATAAAAAACACCCTTTAAAAGACATGGATAGTATTACATTCAAAGCTTCAAAGTAAAATATTATAATACTTAATATAGTATAGAGCTTCTGAAAAGGCCCAGGACAAAGGGGAACGGAAATAGACTGAGATCAAAGACTAGTTTACAATGATAGTAGTATGTGCGGTAAGAACACGTCATCACGGCCTACAGTATGTTGTGGTCTGTGTTTTGTTACTGCACAAACAATAGTGAGGTCTAAAAGAAAATATAATGACATATTCTGGTTATATAAGTATGAGACCAGAAATCCCCCACAGGGAGCTTAACGTTTGACCTGTTATGAATTCAGTTTCAGGAGACATAGATGGAGTTTGGACACATGATGTAGTTAGTTCCAGCCTATAAGCTTTTGTGTACAAGTCTCTCCACACCAAAGTACATCTGTGACCAACTCGGACTCTGAGGAGCACAGGGATGGGGAGGCAGCATTTCAGATTTATGCAGGAAAAATCTAAGTTTTAATCTCAATCCAGGTTAAAACAGTTTTGTTTAGCTTTTAGACCCTATTTTTGTTCTGCTTGTTATATCACTTTTTCTCTGCACTGGCTTCCTGTGGCTCAGAGAATAGACTTTAAAACAGCTCTGCTTGTGTACAAGTCTCTCCATGGCCTCGCACCAAAATATATTAGTGACATGTTAGTCCCATATGAACCAGCCCAGACTCTGAGGAGCACAGGGACTGGACTCCTGTTAGTGCCCAGAGTCAGAACTAAACATGGGGTGGCTGCTTTTCAGATTCATGCTGCTAAAATCTGGAACAGTCTTCCTGAAGATGTGAGACAGGCCTCCTCTCTGACAATGTTTAAAACCAGGTTAAAAACAGTTCTGTTTAGCTGTGCATACAACTGAGGGATTTTATAGTTTTATCTTTCTTTTTAATGTACTGTGATTATTTATGATTTTAATTAGGGGTGGGAACCTAAGGGTTCCTCACGATACGATACGATACACGATACAAAGCTCACGATGACGATTTTATCACGATATGACGATTATTGATATATTGGTCAGAAATATACAATATGCCAATTTATGGCATAAATAAAAGAAAAAATACACTTTATTTCATGATAAATGGAATGGAGATGCGTAATGTAGCCATATATTAAGTATTGATACTTTTTTTTCTTTTCACAATCTATATTGATACTTGGCAAATGCATATCAATAATCGAATCGCGGGAGAAAGTATCGCACACCCCTAATTTTAATGCTATCTTATTTAGTTCAGCACTTTGAGTTGCCTTGTGTATGAGTTGTGCTATACAAATAAAGTAAGTAGTAGTAAGGTTTATTTATATACCGCCTTTTCACTGCACATCGGAGTCTCAAAGCGGTTTATAATTGTTGGGTGGGGGTGCCAGTACAGGAGGCACATGCCATACCTATTGTACATATTTTTAGTGGTAGGGGAAACCGGAGCACCCGGAGGAAACCTACGCAGACACGGGGAGAACATGCAAACTCCACTCAGAAAGGCCCTGGTCCAACCGGGATTCGAACCCAGGACCTTCTTGCTGAGAGGCGAGAGTGCTATCCACTCAGCCACCGTGCCGCCCAAAGGCATAAACTTGCCTTGCCTTATTTTCAATCATCTGTGGTAGATCATTTTGCCCGAGGTACAAGGTGTTAGTAGACAACCACATTCTCGCTTACAATGATAAAGAAACTGCAACATTATGAAAACACCTCTTGATTTTACTACTTTATATTCAAACATATATATTTTGCAGTGTAACAATACAGCCGCACAAACACCAGACAGAACCACAGACTGTTAGAACATGAGCGGTTGTGTGTCTTGTGTGTGTCTTGTGTGTGAACTGTTGATTTCCTCACAGCAGGGAGTGGTGCTTGTTTCCTAATCAGCCGCTGTGTGTCTGATGTTATTGATGAGCCGTTGACCAAAGCTGTTGGTCCAAGATACTGATAATCAATCCCGGCTGATAACAGTGTGTCCCTGTGTTGGCATGTGTGAGCGGGCAAAAGTCCAAAGATCTTTGAACACACCACGGAGCATTTAACAAACAGCTGTTAATGCAGGGATGTACAGTATCTTCTTTAGACTCCACACAATGCTATTAAACTTAAAAATATGCTCAGAAATGATGTGTTTCCTTTAAAGCTGATGCTGAGTCAGAGTTTTTATTATCATTATTTTATTTATTATTTATATTTGTTGTAACCGGGAAAGCCCATTGAGATTAAGAACCTCAGGAGACAGCATAAATTACACACAGTTGCATACAATTACAGATTACAGATTTCAATGAGCAGGTCTCAAATTCTCTCAATCTGGATTTAAAAGTGTTTGTTTTATTTTAGCATAGAGTTATTGTTCATTTATCTTGTTGTTGTGTGCACCTCATTCTATAACAGCTCTGTAACCAGCGATGCAACACTGAAATTTACTCCACAGTGGGACAAATTTGTTTAGAAAAAATAATAATAATACTGCAGACCACTACATGCTTATTAGAAAACATTATATTCTCTGTATAATTGTGAGCTGTGAGTCACTTTGGAAAGATTTTTTAGTTCCATTCTCTTTTATTGGGCTAGGTATCCCAACGTTGAAAACAGCATTAGGCCATTCAAATCAGTAGTTACAACAAGGCTACATAATAATTACCCTGTTTATAATGAATTAGAGACAGCTTTGTCCATGACTCCCAGAGAACGTGTTTACCAAACAGTGGTTACCTTCACATCTCGACCTGTGCGCAGAGTGACATGTGTATGTATGTGTATGTGTGTGTGCGCGTGTGTGTGAGAGAGAGAAACTTCTAAAATTCACAATTGCCAATTATAGACTGGAAATATTTTAACCAACACCATTTGCATATTACAATGTGTCATATTATGCAAATTCAATGGGTACATTTATTTCCTACTTTAGGTAGGAAATAAATGTACCCATGTTTGGGCCATTCTTAATATTTCTCTAATTTACAGGATGCCTTTATCTATAATCACTCTTAGGCTATAGTCTTTTGAAACGAAGATGACAAAATTGAGCAATTTAGAAAAAAACCTCTGCCGCTTTAATGGTTCAATTTGAATAAGGCGGAAAAAAATATTCAATCATTCTCATCCTTCTTTCTCAGCGAATCTACAGCAGAGAAAAGTGCACTCTGTAAATATTGGTCTATTTCTGTCACAAAAGGACAGTGTGGTGTGGTCAGTTGGGCACATGCCAAACACACATCATGGGCAGATGCTGCGTCACTTCTCTCAGCTGTTGGACCTGACAGGAAACTGTGAGCGAACTGGAGAGAGTCCAATGGATTTCCCCATAACACCCACGTGTCACTCAAACCACCACAGACCGGCCATAACTGTCTAAAGTGGTGCATTTAACATTCATTCCCTCATTCATTCATCTTGATCCTCTTTATTATCATGCATTTCTGGGTTCGGGAGGGTGGAAATCAGAGCTGCCATCTAATCCTCATTTAACATAAGAGACATAATACACATGGTTTTTGTATTTATTGTTTATATTTGTTTGTTTCTCCTGCAGAATCATCACCCATACTACACTAATACTGATGGGGGATAGCTTTAGGTGCATGTTTCAACCATGTTTAAGCTATTTTTGTTTTTCATCTGTTTGTATGACTGTAAGACTTTAAAAAGGTTTACATTGTTTACATTGTTTTTGCTAAAAACGTTAGAGATGAAAGTTGAAATAATGAGCTTTGAATGTGGCTATTGAAGGAAGCTGATATTGTCTGCAAGGAGTTGTAGAAGGGTTATACAAGGTTATAGTGTAAGTTCTCCTATTTGTACTTGCTCATTTTTAATTCTATATATGCAATTATTTTCCCCATTGTCCAAATAAACATCCTTTCTTGTTCACTTGTATGATTTTAATAATTTCCTTTCTTGTATTTTAAAGAATGTTGATTACATTGGGTATGAATTGTGCCATACAATTACACTGCAAAAAATGATAACATACTTGAATCGAGTGATTTTTATCTTAATTTGAGCACTCTCTTAAAACAGGATTTGCCAATGGGACAAAGTCATTTAGTCTCATATCAATGTGATTAAATTAAGAAACATTTCCCATTCAAAACTCATAATCAGTATGTTTTGAATTAACATTATTTTCTATAGCAAACACTAGTCCTGAACCAGTCATACTTTGTAGACTTTTAATGTGTTTTATTAATCCATGGACTGCAGGTTTAATGGGCTAAAACGCAAATATAACTTTCTATAATACAGTTAAGTTACGTACATTACAATCCTTGAATAACACACAGACGCAGACTCAATCCTGGATGTAATTCTGAATGGCCCCCAGCAGAGTAAATGTCAAATTGTGGTACCGCAAACTCAACATGTACAAAAGTGCCACCACTGACGCTTCCATCCTCATTTCAACAAAGTCTCCACATTCTTTCAAACTTACCATTTCTTCGTGCACTCCAAGACAAGCTCCTGATAAGACGCGACGAACTGAAATTTAGACGCCTTCTTCCCCACACGCTGCAGTCGCTTCCAAACCGAAGTCATATCTCAAAACAATAAACAAAGAAAATAAACCCGCTCTCTTCTGGGTCCCTACAGTTGCTTTAATCCAGATATATTCCTTAAATGGTCTGGTGCCGCTTCACTTCACTTTCCACTTCACACACGCTCAAACTTGCGCTTCATTTAGCGGTCGAAACTGAAATTACGCACGAGAGAAAGAGAGGAAAAGCAGTGTGTTCTGGGCGTGCAAAGGGGAACTGAGTCTTCTGTGTGTTGTCATGAAGGCATCTAGAAACACGCGTGGTCATGATCAGTTCGCAGCGCAGAGGAGGAGTGCGTAAAAGGCTATTATTGCACTCTATGGTTTGAACGAATAGAAGTACGCGCAGGGCATGGCAGCTGCAGGGGATGGGGGAGGGAGGGAGGGAGAGAGAGGGAGGGGGGGGGGGTGGAGGGAGAGAGACAGAGAGAGGGGGAGACAGGGAGAGAGGGTTGGAGAGAGAGAAACAGAAGAGAGAGGGAGACAAAGAGACAGTGAGAGAGAAAGACAGCAAGAGAGACAGTGAGGGAGAGACAGCAAAAGAGAGAGACAGACAGACACACACACAGAGAGAGAGACAGCTAAAGAGAGAGACAGACAGACACAGAGAGAGAGAGAGACAGCTAAAGAGAGAGACAGACAGACACACACACAGAGAGAGAGACAGCTAAAGAGAGAGACAGACAGACACAGAGAGAGAGAGAGACAGCTAAAGAGAGAGACAGACAGACACACACAGAGAGAGAGACAACTAAAGAGAGAGACAGACAGACACACACAGAGAGAGAGACAACTAAAGAGAGAGACAGACAGACACAGAGAGAGAGAGAGACAGCTAAAGAGAGAGAGACAGACAGACAGACACAGAGAGAGAGACAGCTAAAGAGAGACAGACAGACACACACAGTAAGAGAGACAGACAGACTCACAGAGAGAGAGACAGCTAAAGAGAGAGACAGACAGACACACACAGAGAGAGAGACAGCTAAAGAGAGAGACAGAGAGACTCACACAGAGAGAGAGACAGCTAAAGAGAGAGACAGACAGACACACACAGAGAGAGAGACAGCTAAAGAGAGAGACAGACAGACACACACACAGAGAGAGAGAGACAGCTAAAGAGAGAGACAGACAGACACACACAGAGAGAGAGACAGCTAAAGAGAGAGACAGACAGACACACACACAGAGAGAGAGAGACAGCTAAAGAGAGAGACAGAAGGTCACTTATACATTACTTCCAGCTGCAAACACAAACAGCTTTTGTGTATCCTGTACAATATAGCCTTCATATGTGTGTGAGAGAGAGACAGCAAAAGAAACAGAGAGAGACCGCCAAGGGAGAGTCAGAAAAAGGGGGAAACAGAGAGACAGAAACAGGGAAAGACAGAGAGAGAGAGAGAGAGAGACAGCAAAAGACAGAGACAGAACTCTAAGTATACATTATTTCCAGCTGCAAACACAAACAGCCTTTCTGTATACTGTACAATCCATAGCATTCATGTGTTAGTTCATGTTCACTGCTCCCAAATGAGAGAGAGCGAGAGAGAGAGAGAGAGTGTGCACATGTAATGAAGAATATGCAAAACTTTGAACTGCAGAAACATTATTACAGCATGTTAGACTTTGGCCCTGTGTGTGTCACTGCAGACTTATCGCAGCGTTGACTTCATTGTGCAGAAGACGGTTGACCCCTGTTCTGTACTGTATCTAATATATACATTAATGCTATATCTGCCAAAAGCAATAGGTCGTGGGATTAGTGCATACAACTGGAATCTAAAGTTGTATATCAAGTAATGACTCTTTTTTAATAAACAGAACCAATGGGAAATATTGAGAGAAGTGTTACATTATTCAAGAGACAGTATGTGTCAAAAAACAGAAGTAATTGTTTGCGGTGGTTCACAGCAAGAAGGTTCTGGGTTCGATTCCACATGTAAACCTTTCTTTGTGAAGTTTGCATGTTCTCCTTGTGTGTGCATAGGTGTCCGCCAGTCTCTCCTACCACTAAAAACATGTACAATAGTCACTCCATAACATCCTCCCCGACTCCACTCCTGCCTCTCAATCTCAATCTTAATCTCAATCTCAATCTGGAACTTTCTCAGGTCAATAAATTAAAACATAAAATTCATGATTCCTTTATTAGATTCACATTGTTGTAGAGGTGTAATAGTAATGAGAAATGGGCATACCTGCATGTGAAAACCAGATCCTGTCTGAAGCTAAGCAGGACAGGGCCTGGTGAGTACTGTGATGGGAGACCTCTGAGAACACCAGGCGCCACAGTGGGACGACTGCGGCTGTAAAGTGCCAAACTGTTGTTGGGCAAGACACTTCACCAGCTTTGCCTAGGTGTGTGTGTGAATGGTTGGTGGTGGTCTGCGGGGCCTCGCTTCTGTCACAGAGCTCCAGGGCAGCTGTGGCTACAGTAGTAGTTTATCACCAGCGTGTATGGAGTGAATGAACAATGACATGTGAAGCGTCTTTGAGTGTCCTAAAAGAGCTATATAAAACCAATGTATTATTTTATACATTTTTTCCACCAAAGTGATCAGCCTGAGAAACATACAAATGTAAAACTAGTCCTGTGCAAGAAAGTGTGAATGTGAGGATGATGAAAGCATCTCTTAATGTCCTCAAATTAACATGTATTGTGAAATAAGAAATTGTACATACGGTATTGCTAAATTCAAATGTCGCTTCATTGAATAATTCTGCAAATGTTTTTCTAAGCATTACTCACGGCTCTTCACATTTGGCAGACTGCGGTGGGTATGAAAGATGGAAAAACAAGCGAACACAAACCCAGGAAGGAACAGGGCACGGAATGAATGACTTTTCCAGGACCAATCACAGAACAGCTCACGTCGTAATAACTTTAAAAGTGGCCATTATTTCAAATTGGTCTGAAGACAGATTAGATGCCAAGTTAAGGCCCAAACATGCCACTCTCTCTCTGGTGTTTTTCTTAGTCATTTCCTGAATCAGAGCTATGTCATGATTCTGGAACTAGGGCGCAAGGAATGATGCAGAGGTTTCTCAAACTGTGGAGTATGTCAGTCCTCCACAGTCCTCCATAATCCTCGTTCTACAGCCTGAGTCCTGAATCTACCGTCTGTCTGTCCATGGGAGCAGATCCCTCTCTCAACATGGGCCTCCCCTTGGTTTCTCAAATGTTGTATATTTTATTTAGGGACATTAATGGACATTGGTCATCCCTCTAACCTATGGACCCTCATTTCCAGTGCAATTGGTTGTTAAAATCTATCCATCTTCTGCCCCTTGAGCCATTTCTGGGTCAGGGGGTGGTCAGAGATGCCACCCAGTACATAGCACCAGCCCCTCACTGATCCTCCTGCAGGTGGTGAGTCCACAGGAGAATGGCCGCTCTATGGCATAGCCTCGATCTTTCAGTGGGGGCCTCAGGCAAAGTGGGGTTAAGTGTCTTGCCCAAGGACACAACGACAGCATCAGTGGGAGTCGGTGGGGAAGGTCTCATGTTGGGCTCGAACCCACGACCTTCAGGCTCAAAGGCCAATGCTCTACCAACTGAGCCACTATCGCCCCTGTTAAAATCTTATTCCACATTTAACAGGATATCATGTTTTTGTTTTATGGAAGAAAAGCCTTGTTCACAAATCCATTTACAAATAACTTCTCAAATCCAAATAATATGCTCCATAATTTCAGCCCATATCTATACCTGGATCAGTATTGTTTCTGTCTGATAATTTGTGCTTTTTTATCTGATAAATGCAATGATTTTGAGTAGAGTAAGTACCCTGCAGTATCAACACATTCAAGGGAGATTTGCAGAATGTCTAATTATTCCCTGAGTGTGAGACAGGGGAAGAGGGGGTTTCCTGGTGGAGAGGAGAAGAGTATTTTTAGTCCAGCAGCAGTGGACGGACAGGAGCAGCTGGAGGCCTCTGCCGTGACTCAGAGGTGGTCTAGTTTCAGTCTCTACAGGAGGATTCGGGCCATTCACACCTCAGTGGCTTCATTATGCTTCAGTACATTCAACAATTATCTATTAATGCTCTAGAGGCCCAGTTTTCCATCTTAAGTACTCAACAATAGTGCAGTTTTTACATAGGTTTTTCACGGTTCGGTTGAATCCAATTTCAGACCCTTAGCTTTACGTGAAAGACTGGAAGATCATTGACTTGTGCTTAATAGTCTTAGATGGACAAGCTTAGATTTAATGTTGATTCAAAAGTGTTATAAGAGATCCAAGACCAAGACTTTTGATATTTTTTTTTGTGAAGGGACACCATTGGCAAATTTATATTAGTATTTTAAAAAGACATGGCTACTTTAGTACAATTGACTCCAAATACACGAACACACATATGTAAAAATACATTGTAAACTGCTAAAATAAACTACTTCTACTCCACACACACACACAGGGTTGTGCTTTGACCAACAATAGCATAGACTAGCTAAATGGCTACTTCAGATATTTCTAATAGAAGGCCCCCTTTGTTGTAATGAAAAGGTTTAAGGCAGACCTTTTATTAAGAGGGCCAGTCTAAATAAAAAAAACAGTTAACCAGTCTGGACCAGAGGCCGACAACCTGGATTGTAAAACTTTTTTTGTGTGACTGGAAACCTGAAATTGGCGGAGCTGAATTTTGCCTGGTGTCTTGGGTTTATGATCAGTGAGCCACAGAAATAACACAGAGGACCAGACGTTAGACATTGTGTTGGATTTGGCTCCATCAAATGTAAAGAGTCGACTTTTCTAACGCTCTCTCTAACACACGGACAAATCCACAACATCTGATGGTTAAAAATAGGACATGGGACTTTTTTCTTCTCCACCCGGCGCCTGCTCCTCTCTGGGACAAATTCTTTTACAGAGACACCTTTCAACATGAACAGGAAATTAAAGAGTAAATGAAATGAGAGGCTAAGGCTGTGAGCAGAGGCCCCCTGTTGGTCAGAGCGAAGAACACCAATAAAATTAAGCATCTTAATTCAAAGCTGTGGAACCTAAAATCCATACATTTGCGAGCTATCAACACAAGAATTATTTGGCCTCTGTCTCATTTTTAGAATAGGCTTTTTCAGACGGAAAAGTACCTCCTCCACTCGGCCAATCAGCTTTCAGCCTTAAGCATCCAAATAGTGACGCAGGGCTCTTACAAAAGACAAAAGGTTTTCAAGACCTTTCAATAGGTTGTTGTTTTTCTATTGGTTCACTACAGTTTATTTCTACAAGACTCTTTCTGTTGGGACAAACAAAAAACAGGCACCCCTGCTTTAATAATGCATCAGTTGTAGTCTTTGAGTGTCCAAAAAAGAGCAGTATAAAACCAATGCATTACTATTATCAGTTTTATACAGGCACTTCCTTCGTCATTATTTATTCACTCTGTACACAGTGGTGACACACACACACGCACGCACACACACACGCACACCAGACTAATTCTTGGCAATGTGGGTGAAGTGTCTTTCCTAAGAACACAACAACAGCTTGGCTTTTTACAGCCAATCCACTGTGGCTCCTGGTGTTCAAAGGTCTCCCATCACAGTAGTACCCCAGCAAACCCTGCTTAGCTTCAGAGGTTTGACAGGATCTGGCTCTCTCATGCAGGTGGAGCCACAAACTGCTTTTTAGATAAATATTTGGTTTTTTCCTATTTCATTTATCTGATTTATGCAACTCACAGGTCTCTTGGAAGTGGATTCTGGGAGTACATCCTTTAATGTAAACAGAAAGCAATTTTGGAGATAGATTCAAAACAACAGCATCAGCATGGACATAAATGCATTTCATACTTTGTCAGTACCATGAAAACATAGAGGAGGCACAATATGTGATTTGAGTTTTGTATGAAAGTTACACAATGGGACTTTAAAAGACAAAAATCATCTCATACGAAACATGTGAGAACCAAAACGAGGAGTATAAAAATGACCACAAAGTGACCACGAGAATTTGAATCAAGACGGCTTTTATTTAAAAAAGAGTATGTAAAAAGACACACAACTTTAAAAACAAGTAAAAAAAAAAAAAGAGGCTTAGCTTATGTAAAGGCTTCAAACCACACGAACAAGTGGCTGCAAGTTTATATGCAACTTCTTTGAAGAACATAATAATATCTGGTTCCACTCGTTTCAACCCGAGGTGAACTGTGCGTAACTGGCATCACAAGCAACATTTACAATGTCTGGAAAACACATTGTAATTCATATAAATATCATTTGTGGTTGCCAGAAGTTGTGCCAATAAAAAAAAAATTAATAGCAAACGTGAGGTTTGGTGTGGTCTGTGGAGGTCCTTTTGTTTACTTTTATTCCATTTGGATAAGTCTAGATATAGCTTTGCAACATAGACTATATTAGAGTTTTCGGAAAAGCTGATTTGAACATAAGCTAGCTGGAGCCAATTTCCTTATATGGACTTTTTGTATTAGCTTTGTGCCGTAACGTGGGGCAGTCGTGTTGCTAAGATGGATGCTAAGGCAAGCTGGAGTTCCCCCCTCAAATGAAGCCACCTTAGATGACTCATATCTGTGTCATTTATAAAATAAATACATAAACTCCAGGATCACACAGAGAGAGCTAAAACCACACCATATTTAAGCACAGAATGGTGAGTGGGACACCAACGGTTACTGAGATAGAGGAGTTTAATTTCCAAGGTCAGCCGATGGGAACCAGAGCTGGAGCAAAACTTCATCCATGAGCACTTCCCTACTGGGATTCATTTAGTAAGAGGATGAGCATTGTCTTTTTATATACATATAATAACCATTTCAGACTTGTAATGGTGTGAGACAGGGAAGCCTGTTGTCCCCTGTGCTCTTTCATTTCTAGATGTTTGACCTGTCCAGGCCGCTGAATAAGAGCAAAACTGGCTCTATGGTTGGTGGTGCTTTAATTAATCACTTAATGTATGCGGACGACCTGGTGGTGTTTAGCCCGAGTCCAGCCGGTCTCCAGCAGTTGTTAAATGTTTGCTGTGTTTGAGGAACTTCAGGATGTAAAATACAACTCCACTAAAAGTGTAATCATGATCTGCCGGACTAAGGAGGACAGATCACTGAAGTTTTCTGACTTTATGCTCTTAAGGAACATCGGTCAAGTACCTCGGTCCACCATAACTGACCGTTTGTTTGACCGATGACGAAGACATGTATCGTCAGTGCCGGACGTTATATGCACAAGCGAACACCTGTCTCGGAAATCCTCCTCCTGCTCTGCACAGGTGAAATTAGCTCTGTTTGGAGCTTACTGCTAACCTCAATTACAAAATGTCCAGCTTTCAGAAACTTAGAGTTGCTTACAATGATGCGCTGAGAATTGTATTTAAAAATCCCAGATGGACAAGAGCCAGTGTCAAACAGAGTAAACGCTTTGCCAGCTGTCTTGAGAAATTTGATGTTTAAGTTTATATGTCACCTTCAACGATTCAAAAAAGGCTGTGATTATTTTATTGTCCAGTGTTGTGTGCAGCGAGGTACGCTGTTGCTGTTTTGGAAACATTGGTATGACTGCCTCTTGAAAGTATAGAGGTTTTTATTGTCTGTTTATAGTTTATTTTATTTTGTGTTCTATTTTTTGTTTTTGTCTGTGTTGATCTGGACCTTGAGTCTGCAAAAAAGTGATCTATCTATCTATTAAATTACATACATATATATTTCTATGCTTTGCAACAGCTCTATAGCACTTTGTGATCAACAGCATTCTTGATCATAATAATAACAAAATATGTATGACACTTTCCTTCTGCGAAATCTAGAAGTGCTACAGATTAGAAAAAAATGCAAAAATGGGATTGGGTGTTATTTTACCTTTTGGTGAATGAACTTCTTTGTGGCGTTGCATAAGAATATTTGTTATCTTCCATCTTTTGTTACAAGTGCACTGACAGAATCTATCATGTATGATTAACTACATAATTGTCTTGCCTAACAAATAAATATGATCTTTCAAATCGAGTTATTAGTGTCTTGCATAAGCTGACAGTTTGACATGTTGGTCCCTGAAAACAAAACATTAACTGATATAGAAAAAAAAGGATATCAAAACAAAAATGTAACAAATATACATAGGTCAAACTGTATAAAAGTATTACAGGAACCTGTCACAATAATCATTTTTTGTACTTCCCTTGTAATAAAATCCTGTTAGTATGAATTGAATAAGTAATAACAATTGTGACAGGTCTAAATGTCAATATAAAAAATATATAGGTTGAAGTATTTTATGTATTTATGGTATTTTGAATGAGTCTTTGATCCACTGGTCCCGAGAGTTGTGGCTGGGGGGAGGCAGCGACAGCAGCGCAGTGGGAGGGGGCAACTCTTCCTCCTCCTCTCCCTCGTCTTCCTCCACATCAGAGTAGGCCTGTCATCAGAACGTTCAAGTGATATATTACCGACACTAGAGGGGAGGATATCGTCAGAGAATATTTATATATATATATATATATATATATATATATATATATATATATATATATATATATATATATATATATATATACACATATAGCTTGCTCTACTCTACTCCTTATTTTTTCATTTTCACTCCTTGCTTTTAAGCCCAAACGTATGTACAATCTGCCTACTTTGTAGATGGCACCATGGCATAAGAACCGCTTTGAAGTGGTTAAACATGCTTCTAAGTTAAATATCACATTTTTGGTTAGCTGCGCTTCTAAGCTCAGATAACCATTCATCTTAACTCTGATAACCTTTTTTCTTATGATAATATATTTTCCCATTGTCCCAACAGAAAGCGCCTTGTAAAATGTTTTAAACCAATCAGATCGCTTGTAAGAAAGTTTGCGAGTTACAATTCGACGCTTTGGGCTGTGAGCTGATTGGCTGAGTGATAGACTGGCCTTAGCCATCCGTACACTCCGGTCGTTCTTCATTTCCCTTAGTATGAAATGTAGTTTGTACTATGGTGAGGTACGACCAGGCTAGCTGAGTGAGGGTGGTCCTCTCTTTGTCACTTCTCTGTCTGAAAAAGCTGATCTAAAGATGTGACAGAGGCCAAACAGTACATGCATAAGAAAACTAGTGATAGAACTTTATAGAAAGATTTCATTTCAAAACACATTTCTAATTAGGTACTCCATCTTAAGTGTCCAAGAAGAGAGAATACTAGGCTCTGTTTGGACAGGCTTACGTCAGAGTAAACGTTGTCAGAGCTGAAGGATCCCTCGTGCAGCAGAGAGGAGCCTTTATAATCCTGTATGGACTCATGCAGAGACCAGAGCTGACAGAGCAGAGACATGTCCAGCTGCCGCAGACCCACCTGGACACAGACAACAGGACAATATGAGGATAAGTTTGGATTCTCTCAGGAGCAAGTCATAATCCATCTGTTTATCCTTCACAAAATCACAATAACATTTTGAAGCCACTTACGGACACCGATACAAGAAACCTTTTTACATTATTAATCATCAGACACAGATTAAAACTTAATGTGCTCTCTCTGTGAGGCATTACTCTGCCCTGGTGCTTTTTCTGAATGAGTTTGCTCTTGGCTTGCTTCTTAACAGGACGCAACAAAGATAACTTTAAACAGGGGGGACCTTAAAGATGGCACTACAAGGTGGAAGCCCCCTCACTTGCTGCGTCTCCAACAGTGGATTATGGCATGTGATGAAATTGTGAACTTGGAACTGTCCACAACAAGAGTAGATGGAGCAGAACAGTACATTAGAGTCTAGACAGTCTATGGTCTAGACCAAGAGAAGTTAATGTTTCTAGAGTGAAGTTTTAAGATTTTCAGGTCTTCTGTTTTGGTTCATGTTTCCTTTTTAAAACAAATGTTGAAAAAATATTTAAAAAGTATCAACTATCAAACAAAATAAACAGAGGAGCAAAAACAACATTACAATCGTATCTTGTTTAGTTTGTTTACGTTACTTCATTGATTGGTTGAAACCATTTCACTCTGCATGTTTACCAATCCAAAAGATAAATAAATAAATAATATATATACATAGAGATCATCACAATTCAGTTTCATATGATTATACTTCCCACACAACAATACATTAATAAATAGTTTATGGCTTTGACCCTGAAATACCAGACTGACCTACTTTTGACAAGTTGAGGACATAGTTGTAGTAAAGTCATTCATAAAAATCGTGTTGTGGACAGCAGAAAACATGCACACACAATGCAATTTAATCTTATTGCATTCAAAAATACAAATGTAAATACTTTATAACATACGCTTATGTAAACTGTGCGTAATTAAAGTTTACCATTTCTTTGCGGAGCAGAGCCAGCGCTGCGTCCAGCCCTCCTCCTCGCTTCTTGCCCGGGGGTTGTCGCGCTGTGTCGGGGCCGCTTCGGGACATGTCGGCCTGGATGCGGGCTCTCTGGGCATGCACCCTCTCCATGTCCCGCCACGATCCACCGCTGGAGCTCAAGATCCCGCTGAGGCCTTTGGGCAGAGGTGGCAACCCCTCAAGCGACTGCAGCCCCCGCGCACTCCCACAGTTCCCGTTCATGCCGAGGAGCCGAGTGCCGTATATGGAGCCGCTGAGTAAAGCACTGAATTATCTATAAATACTGTATGTCTATGAGAAATACTCCTACAGCATTGTCATTGGCTGTTCATTGTTTATAAGAGTTTTCCTGCTTTTGTTTTGCTTCCTTTGCCTTCTTTGTGTCTGACTTTCTTAGCTCCGCCCGACAGTAAACGCACCACGCCCACGTACAGTGAAGACCAAATGGGACAGTTTATGTATGGCGTGAATGAGTAAATGACTATATATTAATGACATGTAAAGCGTCTTTGAGTGTCCAAAAGCGCTATAAAAAACGGATTTCTTTTTTTTTTTTTTTTTTAGGCCTAGTCATTATCCTATTTAAAAAATATATATTTTATCTCACATTTACTGTTGTGATGTACATACCTGTTTTATTTAAACATATTATGATTGAACTGCTTTCTCTCATAAAACATGTAATATTTTAACACAATTGAATGCTATGAGATGAAAATCTGTCGGATGAGTAAGGATGATCCACTCTTTCACTCTTGTCTGCTGACTTAAAAAATACAAAAACGAGCAATTCAAACCAAACTGTTTTGAGAGTGTGGAAATTACATAGCAATTTGGTTAGTAAATAAGGTAAAGCTGGGGTAATCAAATCTAAATTATTGGCACAAAGAGCTTATTTTACAATCCTCAAATGATCTTGTTTATTATGAAAGTCTGGCCTGGTCCTGTGTTCAAAAATACAAGCTAACGTTTAAGTTATTAGCTGAATTAAGTACTTCTCCCAATTTCAGTGCTTAGATCTGCTTATGGAAAGGACAAATCTAAGTTTGCAAGGTTTATCCCATAAGAGAAAAAATTAGTAATGTTTGTGATGTTTTCCAGAATAGAAAATGGTCGCTGGTCGTATACTGAAGATGAGTTTTATTTTTGATTGCACCATTTTTGTTCAGAGCAGTAAATGAAAACATGACAGATCGTGGACATGAATGTGATCGGCACAATCGGTACACAGCTTCACCCGATGCCTTTCTGTCATTCAATATGTAAAAACTAAAAAGGGGAGCAAACATTGATCCACAGTCGTCCAACGGTGGAGTAGAGCATAGGAAAGCGAGGCAGTTTATTTACAAAAAAAAAGCATTTTGAGAAAAATGGCCGGTCGACAAATGCAGATCACACAACATTATCCAACAGATACAGTAGAACATCACATTTTAAATCCAAATTTAATCTTCGCTGCCTGCTTTATATGTCCATGTAATACCGTACCTGTTGAAACTAGAAATATACCTTGGGAAGCAATCCATATCCTCATTCCCCTTACGAGTGCTCAATATTATGTGACTAATTAACGGTAAACAAAAAGGTGTTGTAAATGAGAAAACTGCTTTTATTTGCAGAAAGTATGTCAATATATTTGCAATAACAGATAAGTGCCATTGGAGTAATATGTTTGAAACGCTTACAAGTTCCCCTTTACAAAGTAGTTTTGTGAAAAGCCAGCCCTATTTTAGTGCCATACAAATGTAGTATCACCCCCTTCTTAATAACAGCCAAGAACAAAACATGTGGAAATGGAATACAACTTAAACAAATTTTCAAAATGGAGATCTGCTTTTGCAAATGCACTACATATCGAAATTAAAATGTAACCTCATTGCATCAAAGCAGGACTTACTCTATTACTCTGACGTTATTTTCTTTTCAGGTAGTACAGTGCAGATCTGAGGGCAGTGGGCAGTTCAGTGGATTCATGTCGAGCAATCTGCGCACCAACCCTTCCTCGTTCCTCTTTCACTTATGTTTACAAACCAATTTCCAGTCTCCGCCGTTCCAAATGCATCAGGCCGAGTCCACAGAACAGTCACTATTTAAAGGACAGCGAGGAGAGAAAAAAAACCGGGGAGGAGCGCGAGTATCAGTCCGCCGCGGTCACTGGGCGAGCTCCCGTAGCGCGCGCAGGGACGTGGCGCAGCTGGAGATGAGGCTGCAGAGCTGGACGCTGGTCTCGAGCGACACCGAGGTCTGGAGCTGGTTCGTGGCCCAGCGGAGTTTGGTGAGAATGGCCTCCTCCGCGTCCTGCAGCACGGGTCGCAGGGCAGTGCTCTGTGGAATGACCGTGGGCCGCGTGGGAGCCAGGACCGGGGCGGAGGGAGGGGTGGAGAGCGCGGGCACGGACGGGACAGGAGCCGGAGGGAGAACGGCCCTGCCCCCGGCCGCCGCGCCCTCGCAGTGCTCCGGTCGCGGCTGCGGGACTGAGGCGGTGGCGGTTGCGGGGGCGTCCGGGGTTTGTGGAGGAGCGGGGGACTGGGACGCCAGCTGCCTCTCCCTCACCTGTGACAGTGCAGCCTGGGCGTTCAGAGCTGTAGGAAAAAAAAGATTAAGATTAATAGATCCTTTATTCTAGGTAGAGACTTAAGTATAACCAAGTATAGTATAACTCTTATTCTTCAAAATTAAAAAGTCAAACTTTAGCTTAAAAAAACTGTATACTCTAGTGCAGGGGTGGGCAAACTGGTCCTCAGCCACACCTGTTCTTTGAGAACCGGTTAGCCCACCCATGCTCTAGTGCAATATTCATACATCTGGAGATAATCTACTCTAGTGCAAGAATAATGAGGTAGTATCTCATTAGCTCTGAGGGTTCAAATGTTCACATTGATGAAACTACTGTACATGTTAGCAGCACGTGATGCTACTGTACATGTTAGCAGCACGTGATGCTACTGTACATGTTAGCAGCACGTGATGCTACTGTACATGTTAGCAGCACGTGATGCTACTGTACATGTTAGCAGCACGTGATGCTACTGTACATGTTAGCAGCACGTGATGCTACTGTACTACTGTGTGTAGCAGATGAGGCTCTGGGATAAAAGTGACTAAAGAGAAAATGGATGCATGTGGTCCATTATTGCATTGTTGTAGATGTAATAAAAGCAATGGATGAACTTTCGGCCCCATCGGTTCATGCTCTAGGATTCCAGTCTAATTGGAGGACAGGTGCCAAATTCCAAAACTATGTGCCTTCTTTGAAAGACATTTTGAAAAAGCAAATGTCAAAATGTTTTCCCAGATTATTATTATATAGTGATTAGACTCATTAAGCCGCCAAATTATTCTTATGTCTCAAGCATTTCCTACTGACCAACATCATACATACACTTCCAGTCACTTCTAGTTTATGAGAAAACAATTAGACCATAGTTGAGAGGTAGTAAAAAATAAGATGTGGAACTTTGTGACAGTTTTTGTTTCAAGTGGTTTGGTCCAGGGATTACAGACATCCTAAATTTAGGACTAGAAGTCTGATTTTTGACACTTAATAGGAAAGACTTTTCAACTTCTGAAACACTTCCTATTCAACAATGTGGCTTCCCATATACCTTTATTTTTCAGGTATGGGTAGGGATAACTCATTGATTGCTTTTTGACCAGCACCACACTTTTCCACTTTTGATTAATCAATTCTCTACAGTTCTCGTGAAGGAAAGTGTTCCCACCAGGATTATCCTTGTCCACGTCAGAGTCCAGCTCTTGACAAGAAACGCAATAGTTTTTCTGTTGCCGGTCCTGCAGAAGTATAGTCTGAAAATAGAGCAGATAAATATCATATTAAAACGTTTTTATGAGGCAATACAATTTTTCAACATACTTGAACATTTTACTCCAATACTGTGTTCCAGAAAAAAAAAAAAAAACGTTCTTAACCGTTATGGTAAAGGGTCAGATTTACACAGCGCTTTCACCCTTTACACATTTATACACTAGGCCTGTGGGTCAGTTGATCTGGCCGCTATATAATGATGGGGATAGATTTGAGCGGTCAACCTTCAGCTCAGAGGACACACACCCTAACCTAATGTGTGTTACACCTTCAGAGCTTGTTTACCTGCATTCTCTCACAGGCAAATTAGTTCATTTGTTGTAACCTGTATTTCTCTGCTGAGAAATATCCCACTTCCCAGTTGCCTGGAATGCAGTATAACTCAAGATCATCTTTTAGTGACAATAGTCCTTGTTGAAGAATGTCAAAGTTGAAAACGTGGGACATTCCCATTTTGCAGCTCCAAGGAACACGCCATAAACTACAACGTGCCAGTTCTATTTCATAATTACTAGTGTATGTTTATACTAGTAATTCATTTAAAGAGAATCTATTGCCTGGATAATGGCAGAAAGGACCAACTTTTGCAAAGCAGAATGATAGCGGTAAACATGTGACAGGTTAACAGTTCGCTACACGTCACTCACCCCGCATGTGTCGCAGCACTCCCCCAGCATCCTGTATCCTTTGAGCAGATAGTCTCCCATAAGTTTGCTGATTTTGTCCTGCCTCTCCCTGCGCGCCTGGATCACCTTCATGTCCGCTTCAGACGGAGGCTCCCACTCAAAATCTTCATCATCTGCAACATAGCATCATTCATGTGAGCTGTCAATATTGTCACCTGACATGCATTACAACCCACTGAGGTTGAAAATAATACAATTTATAACATCTATGGCCAGACATGAGAGAGTTAAGAGCATTACAGCGTGCACTGTACATCTAGTAACTATCTAAATACGACAAAACATAGTTTTGAAAGCTTTTAGCCTGAGTGCTGTGCTAGCATGCTAATGATGCTAATGCTCACGCTGTCAACCACTTCATAAACACATGAGAACAGAACGGTCCGCTTCACGCAACACCTTTTTACACGCGTGGGACGACAGCAACACACAGACACGTGGTGGTAGAAATCATATTAATAATGTTCTAATAGCAACAAATGTCACAAACCTCCATTCAGAGCCATGATGCTGCTGCGGCCGCTGTGAGGCACGTTTCTGCGCGATGACGTCACTGCAGCAGCTTTCTTCGGTTTTGCCATAAATGGTTTTGGACAGTGCTGCCCCCTGCTGGTTTGTGTTGTAATATCTTCAGTTTGGGGTTCCATTCAGGTGATACTTATGAAAATGCTTTTCTATTAACATAAAACATTTAAAATACCTAATTTCTCCATGTTCAAAAGTCAATGTAGGCCAATTTAGTTAGTTAGATTAACATTCCAGGCAAATCTGTGTTATAGTGAAGGTATGGGAAATTAAGTTGTGCAGGTTTGAAATAAATCTAACAAACTAACTAACTGGGGAACTTGCATCTTACATTTCAGTGATAAATTATATTTTTGACTCCCCCGTCACACTAACATAAAATTGATATCATATGAACTGTTTACATGATTTATTAAACAGTAGAGCAGTATTAAAAGAAAAAAAAAAATGCTTTAATTAAAAAAAAATGTTATTTCTATAACGCCCACAAGGGCCTTGTGAAGCAAAAACACGGCCATTTCTATGTCATAAAAAAAGTTTCGTATACGTTTAAGGTTCCCATTATGATGTGGGCGGGTTCAAATTCGGATTTAGAAATAAAAACTGTTCAAACGTTTTGATATTAAATGGCACAGGTTTTGTTAAATCACTCATTCCTCGCATCCAATGATCCAAGATTTTGTATGTGTAACGGGCAACACAATTTTTAACCAGCGTGTCTCAAACTGTGGTGTGAGGCGTTTGTTAATTCTATACAATTTCTTTCCAACACATGTTGATGGAAACTTTGACATATATATTAACATATCTATCTATGTTTAAATAATGTAATTCAAGTTAATAATCTTAAAGATAAATGAATGATTTTGCAAACGGAGACTAGCTAATGGAACAGTCCCCCTCCAACGTCTCACACTCCTTAAACTATGATGAAAGAAAGCCAAGTCTGTGTGAACACTTTTTAATGTCTGCCATTATCATGTTTTATCATGTTTTATCATGTTTTTTCCTGTGTTAGCTGCCTATAGCAAAGTACTATATACAAGTACTTAGTGCACTTGTTTATAGTAGTTTTAAGAAATTGAAATGTTTATTTTCTCTTTATGCATTTATTCTATGTTTATTTTTATAACTTGTTTGCACAAAGAGCCAAAGCAATTACCTAGTTTGTGACTTCCTATTACTCACAGTTGACTAAACCAGAACATTTGTATGGACCTAAGGAAAAGTGGACCCTCCACCAGGACAGTCCTGTATTCTTCCTCAAATATAAACATCTAAAAAGAAAAGCCAAAGTGTTTTATCCATATTTATTGTGTTTATTTTTTGTTTTACAAGAAAATCAAAAACATTTCACAACACTGAAAAAACAGTTCAGACATTTTTTTTCTTAAAGCAAAAACACAGAATACGATGATCTGACTATATTCAACGATACATGAACAGAAAACAAAAACATGTCCAGAGAAATGACGGCTCCTCTCTCACAGCTCAGTCTTTGTGTTTCGTATCTTATTTCCCGCGACTCTCATCCTGCAACGTTCTCTGTCAAACAAATAGAAAATACAATATGTTAGTCCAGACATGTCCTTTGTCTTGGCCTCGTCCAGGTGAAGTCTACCTACTATAAACAGTTCTTTTTACAGAAAGTTTCAACAATCTGCCTTAAAATAATCATTTTTAGTGTCATTGTGGTGTCTGCTGTGTTTGCATGTTTGGAGTTGGATGTGAAGTGGAGGTGTGTGGTTTGTGGACTCGCATGTGGTTATCTTTGTCATTTACCCCTTTCAGAACATGTACAAGTGTGTGTTATTTTGTCAGAAAGATTTGTGCTGTTCATCTTCTGAAACAAACTTATTGATTGATTGAATAATAGAGAGCCTCCAATGTATTAATTTGTTTATTAGTTTATGTGTATAGGGACAGTACACATTAGACTGGCAACGGATGAAGCGGAAGAAAATGGATGGACGGAACACAATAATCAACATAGCTGTAAATGTTTCAGTGTTAGCGAACAGCTAGCTTCCAACTGTAGACCCCAGGCAAGGTGTAAAATGCTGTCTAAGTATACACCTAATCTCACCTGAGCTGGCTTCTTTGTGTCACTGTAGTGCAAAAAGTTTACTCTGTAGAGGAGAGAGAAAAATATTAATTAATGGCCGGACAGACAGAGAGAGAGATACAAGACAGACAGACAGATTTGCAGAGAGAAACAAGACAGACAGACACACATAGACATGCAGAGAGAGAGAGACAAGACAGACAGACACATAGACATGCAGAGAGAGACAAGACAGACATACACATAGACATGCAGAGAGAGACAAGACAGACATACACATAGACATGCAGAGAGAGACAAGACAGACATACACATAGACATGCAGAGAGAGACAAGACAGACATACACATAGACATGCAGAGAGAGACAAGACAGACATACACATAGACATGCAGAGAGAGACAAGACGGACATACACATAGACATGCAGAGAGAGACAAGACAGACATACAGGGAGACAAGACAGACAGACACACATAGACATGCAGAGAGAGAGAGACAAGACAGACAGACACATAGACATGCAGAGAGAGACAAGACAGACATACAGGGAGACAAGACAGACAGACACACATAGACATGCAGAGAGAGAGAGAGAGAGACAAGACAGAGAGACAAGACAGACAGACACATAGACATGCAGAGAGAGAGACAAGACAGACAGACAGACAGACAGGGAGACAAGACAGACAGACACATAGACATGCAGAGAGAGAGACAAGACAGACAGACAGACAAACAAAAATTAGATAGACAGACATGCAGAGAGAGCTCTGTCTGTCTGTCTGACAGACAGATAAGCAGACATACAGACATGCAGAAAGAGAGCGAGACATACAGTACAAACAGACAGACAGATAGACAGACAGACAGACAGACAGACAAACATGCAGAGAGACAGACAGGTAAGTAGACATACATACATACATACAGACAGACAGACACACAGAGAGAAAGAGAGACATACATACAGACAGATAGATAGAAAAGACTTGTATTACCTTGAGGCTTAGGGTGCATAAGCATCAATGGCAGCTCAAGTGTGACATCACTAAAGAATTCGAGAACAAATGAATTATAATCAGAAAAACAGTTCAAATAATAGAAAATCTCTGAGTGCTTTGATGGTGAGTGTGCTGTGTAATATTGTAACTCACCTTGAGGTCAGTCCTCCCAGCAGACTGCAAGGAGAGAGGGAGGAATGAGAGTCAATGTTGCAAAATGTGCTTTATTCACTATTTCACCAAGTTTCTGTCCTGAAATATGACATAACATGCATCTACCTGCTTTATAGTGATCATTTAGCACAGCCCTGGATCATCATACATGGTACAGTTTAATCTTAACATTAAGATAATAAGTAAAAACAAATCCCTTTGGAAACAATCAGTGATCACAAAAGAATTAGAGGCTCCGCTGAGACCACACATGAAGCTCGCAGTCTCTGGGGAAAAAAAACTATATTTGGGTTCAATGCCTGAGCAACACTGCCATATTGTTCATGCATCACAGATCCAGAAAAATCAACAAACAAAGGTTAACAAAAGTAGTGTGATTGTTGCGGACGCTCAAACTTGCATAATTCACTCTCAAAACAACTTTGAGTGTGTTAAAGACGAAGGGAAATAACTTTAACAATGATAAAAGCTGTGAAAAGTCAACCTTGCTTAAGTCCCCTTTAAAATACGTTTATAAATGTAAACATATATTTACCCTCCACCAGCCACCATCAAGTTGATCTTGATCTTGTAGGAGACCAGGATTCCCAGCACGTCCTTCTCGATGCCTCCCTTCAGGCTGTGAAGCAAACAACAGACAACGATCACTGCGTGTTCAAATATTTTTTCATGTAGTCCCTTAAAAAATATATGGAAATATATCCTTTGGCAAATAGTGGTTTACAATCATGTCTAAATTTAAAATCATGCCTTTGATA